GAACTGGGATCCTGGCTTAAATCTGTCTTTCCTCAAAGTGTTTTGTTCTTAAATTTAATTAGAAATTATTTAGAATTTGTCTTCAGCTGGGAATATTTAGAAATATCGTTTCTACAGATGGTGTAGGTAATCCTAATTCTCTCTATTTTCATTTGTTTAGGACCAAAGCCCATTATAGTTAATTTCAAGTGGAGTAAATTGAGGTAACTTCTGTCGTGTTTAGCATCTAATTGACAGGTTGTTCCTAACATTCACCTTCAAACATGAGTTCTTATTGGTTAGTTCTAGGCTTACAAATCTTTTCTTAGTTCTGCTATCTTGCCAGAACTTGCCAAAAATAATAATGGTAAATTGATAGGCCCATTCAAATCTCAGTTTACTATTAACATGGATTCCTTCTCAATCCAGTTCATTTGATTACAGGAACTATTGCTGTGTTGGAAGAAAATAAGAAAGGTAGCACTGATCCACCATCTAACTTTATTACTAGACTTTGAACCTCCAAGGTTTATTTAATAGTGAAACCAGAAGAGGAAGACGGTTTCACTTTGCAAAGCAAATGACAATATGCAATGCCAGCACATCACTCCCCTTGGTCTTTTTCCCATTAATAGATTGATCTGCATGACAAAGGAAAAGTTGTCATGGAAATATCAAGTATGAACATACAGTACATTTCATTAGTTTAGCAGCAAACTTTAGGGAAGGGAAAGTCTCAATTAACAAAATCAGTGTTCTATTTCTAATATTTAGTTTGACAACGTGAACTTTACCATAACAAAGGAGCCAATGTATTGATGTAATATCCACCCATACGTAACTGATATAGATGGATATAGTTAGTAGGTTTTATTTCCCATGGACACCTGTGATATTTGTTCACACAGTCAATCGCCAGTAAAAACATCTCATAGCAGAACAATCATGATATTTTGTATTAGCCCAGAAATAAGAAACACCCAAGGCAGAGAAAATAATCAATAATGAAAATAATAGACTCAAAGTCCCCAAGTGAAGTCTGCAGACCCCTTGCTTACAAGACTGGCTTTGAGATAAACTAGAATCTCTTTCATTGGAAAGTTTCATGCTTGGCAGTACCATCTGGGAATCTAAGACAAAACACTTGAGAGTATCTTCAATTGGAGATGGTTGATTGAACCTTGGAGGAGTAGACAGCAGATTTCAAACATCCGTACAGCCTCAGTTGGAGCAACAACTTGCTGGGCCCAAGTGTTCAGCTCTTAATGATCTGTCCAGGGTCCTGAAAGCTCATTCTCTCTCAATGTTTTTTCTTAACTACTTGAAATCTTCACAGGGAGTATCTTGTGTGACTTCTCTGCATTGGCATTTGGGGATTTGGATTGAAAACTGGAGGCTGTCCATCCTGCATTGCAGATTACATCCTTTCTTTGTTTGTTGATTAAAAAAAATTAAACAACAGTGCTTTGATTCAGGTTCTGCTTTTCTGAGGCACCATCATAGTGGGTTCAGATTAGAAGTCTGAGATGGGGGCTGACAATATGGTGCTAGCTTCAGAAATGCCCAGAGAAAGCAGACAGCTCCAGTGCCACCATTTGGATTGGTGTGTGAGAGGCAAAGGAGGCAAGGCAAAACAGCAGACACTTTCAGCTACCATCTGAAGGTGAGGGCATGAAATTACTGCCCCCCCCCGGTCCAATGCAAGAGTTTGGTGGGCTGTGAAGAGAGTGGAGCAAAGATCACTCATGCAGGAGTCTCACCTCACTAAATGTCTGCCTCCATTAAAATGGAACAGCAAGTACAAGTTTTTGACTGGCAACAACTACTCATTAACTCCCACTCTGTTTGCCTTGAGTTGTGATGACACAAATACACCCTGACGTTGAACCTGAACTGGCAAATTTGCTACAAGGTTGACCCCCGGATGCCACCTGATGACTCTCCTGCTTTGCCTCTGTGATTTGGAACCCTTGTTAAGCCAAAGTTGCTGAACTTTGGGAAGGAACTTATCTCTATATTGTATTCTGACCAAAGCTTCCTGAGACAGTAACACTAACACGCTTAGTCCCAAAACCCCTCATTTTATTTCAACGACTGTGAATTCTATTCATTCATAGCCTGTAATGAGTCACAAATAGTTTGTAAAGAGTCCAACAGAAGTCTGCCACAGTCCTTCGGGATAAGGCTGATAAGCACCCACCTTTATCTCCCTTGACACGCTGCCAAAGACCTAATTGGCAATTAGCTTTGCAAGGCCACACGGAGCACAGAATCAAAAACGGAGCTTCATTTAAACCAACCAAAACAAATAAAGTTGCTTCCTGTAAAGGCTCATGTCCCTTTGCTCCACCTTTATGTCTTATGGGAGGGGCCAATCATCTCCAAGCCTTACTTCCGAGTCACCCCTTTTGTCTTAACTGTTCTTGCCTTCTGGCAGCTCAGCGCATGCGTGCACTGGGAGCATGTTCCCCCTGTTCCTCTGCCTCGTTGATGTCAGACTCTGGAGGCTCCGGAGTCAGCATATAACTCCCAGATGGCCCTGGTCCCATCTCTGCCTCTGATGCAGAGCCCTCATCCGAGCCTTCCCCAGACTCCAGGACTGGCCCATGTTCCTCTCCAGCCTCCTCACTGTCTGACTCTGCTGCCAACTCCGCAGGCCGCCGATGGACCACAACATATTGCAAGTAATGTCTTGGCAAGCCTCATTTAGTAAAGAGAACAAAGCCACCCCTTTGTACATTTGTGTGGTCGTCCTGGGACAGATCAGATACAACAGGAACTCTTTTCTTTATAAGAGCAGGCAAAATTATTCTATGTTAGTTGTTAGGGAGGAAATTGAAGTTTCTGTCTTCCTGAGCATCTGTGTTTGTTTGTTTGTACTTCTGCCAAACATGGAGTTGGACAGATCCTATCCTACAGCTGATGGGCCTTCCTGGTTTTATTTTATTTTACTTTATTATTTTATTTTATCTTTTGCTATGTAACCTCTGAGACTTTTAGATTCCAATGATGGAACGACAACAGCACCCTTCATACGGCAACTCAGGAAAAACCTCAGACTGATAATTGAAAAATAAATGTGTTATCTTAGGGAGGAAAGGAAAGGACAAGGGTAATTATGAGGTTTAATGGTTTTTTTAAATTCCCCCACCAGATGACAAGTGAGTAGGCTTGATGAAAGAGCCAGACTTGTCTTGAACAGACTGTATTTATGTACTTCTCAAAGCTAATGTCAGAGTGATAGGAGAGACAGCTGCCAAATGGTATGAAGTGTTACCAAACAAATGGAAGAACGTTATTTTGTAAAATAGCATGACACCATTTACAAATATAAGCGTTAAGAACATCTATGGTTCTTTAGGTTTCATTCCATTTCTCATTTCTCAAACTTCTTTTGTGCCATGCCTACTTTTCTTATTCTTTTTTTTTAACCTGCACTAAAACTCATACATATTTTCTTGAAGGCTTATTCCAATAAATCCTAGTTTAATATATCTTTCATATTAGCGTAGCAGGCCTGGGAGCCCCAGGGATGGGTGAATTCGTGTGGTGGCTCCCTTATTATTAATATCCGTCTGTCCATTGTTCCCTTTTCTTGTGTCTGCTTTTGTAATTTCTCGTTTTTAAAATAATTATGTAATGGTTTTAACTAATGATGGTCTTACTCATTTCCTGATTTTACTGTATGCAGCCCAGGGTCACTTTCTGTGGGATAGTCAAGGATGTAAATTTGATTGATTGATTAATAAATAAATAAGTAAATAAACAAATAAATCAATATTTTCATTATGGCACACAACAAGCATGGCATGCTTAGAGGTCCTTTCTCAAGTCTTTAACTCCCCTCAATATACTAACCTTTTTCTAGCTAAGTGCTCAGTTCTTTCTTCAGTCCACTTTTTTTCTTTTTCTTTTTTGACCCATATTCAGCCTGAGTCCTTATCTCTCTGAAGTACTGCCTTTGTAGCTTTCTTCCTACCTGTTTTCCCTCATGTCTGTCTGTTGCTCTTCAGGTGTGCTAGACCAACATTTCCTAACCTGGGCAAATTTCAGTGTCAACTCGCAAAGCATCCCTGGCCTGCTCTCGAGTTGCCATAAGCAAGAGGGGATGGGAAACCAACAAAACAGCACGGCAGCCAAAGACAGATACACATTCCAGACTTATCTCTCTCAAGCCTGTATCCCAGGGTTACCCACAGCGGCCGGAGGGGAGTGGTCTCTACAACCTGCAAAATTGCTCTGTTGGTGAATGTGATTGATGACACACCCTAGGGGGAGTGGGGAAACTGGGTCATGATTGGGGTGTAAATTACGTAGGGTCAGAGCTGGCTTCACTTGAGAACGTGCTGACACGAAGCTCCTAATAAATAACTGGATTTCTTTTGAAACTTGGCTTGAGGCTCATGATTTAATTAGGGCATCCATCGGAACCCTGACATGTGTGAACATGTGAACAGATGTGTGAACTAACTCCAAGAATTCTCTAACCATCATGGCCACTGCTGAGTGACCTGGGAATTGAAGTCGACACATATGGAAGTTGTTCAGGTTGGAAAGCTCAATGCCAGACCAAGCATCCCACCTTTAACCAGCATAGCTGGCTGAAACATTTAGTACTTGTTGTCCAACACTCTATGGGAAGTGCCTGCAAGCTTTTTGAGACAATAAGCTAGAAAATCCATTGTAAGATACAACCAACAGCAAAGTACACATGACTGGAAAGCATTCAGGTTTGGTTTTTTTTTAATAGGAACACTGCCACTGTTTAAATAAGCTACACTGAGTATGCTAATAATTAACACACTAGAACATAAAACCAGGAAATGGGATCCTTGCTTTTCTCATCTCTATGCAAAAAATTACATTTTTAAAAATACAAACTTATAAAAACCCCAGTGCTCCCGTTATGTTATTTGAAGTATGCAGATGGAATGTCCGTGACCTATTTTAATAATACATTGTTTTAAAAAAAGCAAACCAGAACAAACGTATCAGAGAAGGAAAAAGATAAAAGTCCTTACCTCTTCCAGCGCCCACAGTGAATCAACCACTGGTTTGATCTTCTTCTCGTTGTAAAGTTTTATGAGATTGTCCATTACTTTAGTGACAAGGCTACTTCGGCCCTGTTTGAAAAGCAGGTTCAACAGAGAAAATCCAGCCATGACTTTGTTCTCTTCGTAAAGTTTGATAGGGTTTACTTTCTCCACTTGCCACCACTAAGGGCACACAAATTGCAACAAGTTTAGAACCAAGGTATTCCATGTGTATATTACACTGGAAATGCATGATGTACCTCACTCACTCACTCACTCATTCACTCAATGTACAGAAGATAGGAGGCCAGAGGAGCTGGAGTATAGACTTCAATGATGGAGTCTGGAGGATCTCAAAGGAAAAAAAAAAGGCATGAAACAAAGGTAAATCCAGATGAACCATTAAGATATGGGCCTCAGCCTTTTGCTCTCAAGATGTACAAGCTCACTCTCCCTATTCTCACATGAAAGGAGCAGCTCTCCCTTCTCAAATCTAGGTTAGGAGAAAACTGGATGGGTTCCCACTTTGCTATAAGCCAGAGATTAAATATAATGAACAAGACACCATGGCTTGGTTGATATATCACCCTAGACCCGTGATGGCGAACCAATGGCATACGTGCCATATCAGTGGGCATGCGAGCTCAGCTCCGCTGCACATGCGCACACTGGCCAGTTGGTTTTCAGGCCTTCTGGGCCCACCAGAAGTCGCCAAAAAGGCCATTTCCAGCCTCTGGAGGGCCTCCAGGGGGGTGGTGAAAGCCGTTTTTGCCCTCCCCATACTCCTAGAAATGTAAATTGTATTTAAGCAGCCCCTCCTTGCCATGTCTTCCTAGGTACAAAGAAACCAACAAACTTAATGAAACATTCATACCTCTGCTGTGGATAATGCCTAGCTTGGATCTGAATCTGCAAAGGATGAGTCATGCTGTTAAAGGGAGCGAGGGGAGAAAACGGCAGGGAAAAAGAAGAGAGACTCGGAGCACAGCACATACAAATAAGCTCTAACAAAGCCGGAAGGGCCTTATACTTACTGATTTTGCAAAGCTAAAGAAACTTTTGGTTTCCCCAGTAACCATGTTTGATGAACCTAGAAAACAGTCAAGAGGGAGGGAAGCAGCAGACGAAAACGTGAGCACAGAAGTAGATTATTTATAAGGATAAAATGGGAGAATATTGATATCCCGTGTCAAAATCATAAAACAACATCTCCATTCTCCATAAAGGTCTTGAAAAAGGGCATCTTGTCTACTGTTGGGATTTAATTCTACTCTTGTGCTGTGCTCTTAATGATGCCATCAGAAGGAGAAAATTCCAACTATCTCTCACCAAACAACTTTCTGCTATTCTCAGTTGCCATTGAACGAACACCTAACCCATGTGTCCCTTACCTAGTGGCAATGCTGGAGCTTTCAGCATTAATGGTGCAAGTCTTCTGGCAAACATTGTGCATTATTTTCATCCTCTTTTTGTTGAGTCATGTTACTGGCAAGGTGATATCTCAAGGACATAGGAGTCCTGGAAAATTCTGTTTCTCTAGACTTCCTGTCCTTGGGATGTCCTTCTGCAGTATTCTAAGTACAACACAATGAAGGAAAATAATAGTGTCTAATAAATCTCACGATATCTGCTCTGTCCCTCATAAGTGTTGTGGCTCGCCGGTGGCCAGTGGAGCTGGCAGCAGACTCAGACAGTGAGGAAGTTGGGGAGGAATATGGGCCAGTCCTGGGAACTGGGGAAAGCTCGGACGAGGGGTCTGCGTTGGAGGCACAGATTGGGCCAGGGCTATCTGACAGTTGTCAACTGCCTCCAGAGCTAGACAGCAGTGAGGCAGAGGAACAACTGGAGCCTGTTCCTAGTGTGCGCATGCGCAGAGCTGCCAGAAGACAAGAACAACTAAGAAAGCAGGGTCGACTTGGCAGTAAAGCCACACCTTGGAGGTGATTGGCCCCTCCCATAGGAAACAAAAGAGGAGTGAATGGGGAGTGGGCTTTTGCAGGAAACAATTCGTTCATTCCATGACTCTGAGAGACTCTGTGCTAAGTTTTGCCTTGTACTGTGTTTGGAAACTAGTTACCTGGCAGCCTTCCAAGCGAGATAAGGTCTGTGTTGATAAATATTTCTTTGAAAAACTGTTTGGACAGGCCTTGCTGACTGTGAATGAAAGGAATTCACAGTCATGTAAATAAAAGAGGTTTTGCCGGGACCAAGACTCTGCTTCCTGATTTTTAAGGGAGCTTAGGTCAGAACAATAAGTTTCAGAGAATGCTTAAAAAGAAGCATCTGATGAGAAAAGAAGACCTTTTCATAGTGATGATGAAGTTGTAAATTTGTAATGTTTTGGTTTTAATAAAAATTGGACTGAATATTTCTAAGGTAAAACATATTGGAGGAAGTATATTTTGAATTCCAAAATTCAAAGGGTGGGGCCCGGTGGGTGGGCAGGACTACATTTGGTGTATAAGACGCACCCAAATTTTCACCCTCTTTTAGGATGCGGGGGAAGTGCATCTTATACGCCAAAAAATACGGTATTTACCCCAGGCTTGAATTAAAGAGGCCTTATTGAAATCTTTGCAGTTTGTTTCCTTGATCTTGCCCAGTTATATGGGGCTTGATAGTATCTGTTAAATAATTATTTTTTCTGTTCCTTCCACAACCTAATTACAACTAGAACCCTGAAAAATCCTATATTTAATTATGCTACTATTAACATTGTTTGCAATTAAATTTGCATTTAGTGCTTTTTTTAAAAAAACCAACATGGCTCTAAGAGCCCAAATTTCATTAATGCAAAAAAGGGGGATTTAAAGTATTATTGAGCACTTTGACATCTAAAGGGCAATCACACTTGGCCTACCAGTCTCCAGGATCTGTGAAATGACAGAGTAATGAATGGTAGTAATAATTCTGTACTGAAATTATTCCGAAGAGGGAAAGAATTATAGACGAGTGGGTCTCTGCCATGTCAAGCTTCTTCCCCAAGGACTTTTAAATGATAAGGTTCAAGAGGAGAGATTTTCCTTTGCTGCCAATGACATAGTCTTCATTAAATGTGGGGATTCTTTGAGATCTGGGCCTAACAATTACCCTGCTGTATGGAAAACCTTCTATCATATCCCTGCAGATATGATTGCTTATCAGATAGTAAGAGGAGCTCCTTGGAGAGAAAGAGGGAAAATTATGTTTAAAGCTGCATTTTTAAAAAAATATATATTTTTATTGTTTACATATAAATATATTGAATACAGTGTAATTGTCCTGGCATTCCACTTGCCATGCAACAAAGGTAAAAACAAATAACATATATACTATTTTAAACAGTGCTAGTGTTGTACAGTTATTTTTGACCATCATATTCTAGAATGTCTATCATTCTAATAGCTACATTCTAATACATACATAGTATCTCTTTCCATGTCCACCTAACCTGATTCTTTCGCATTCCAACTTCTACCTCGTGTTTCTAACCATTGATAAAATCTATTCCATGTAGAATAGTATTCTGTATCTCCTTTATCTTTTATTGTTAGTATTAGTCTGTCCATTTCCGCATAGACTAGTATCTTCCTTATCGTCTCCTCCATTTTTTGATGCCCTTGGTAGAATATCATCCAAGGGTCTACAAGTTCTATGCTACCAATCAACACATTTAATAGTTAACATTTCTTTTCAGTTTAAACCATAATATATGCTTCTCCAAGAGCAAAAGAAAACCTCAGCACAAAGTGGTCAAGAAGAACTTCAAGTATGGTCATATGAAAATCCAGCCAGCCTGGATGGCCAACACAGATTAATTGGTCCTATCTATCTTTCATATCCCTTCTCTTCTACTTCTGCCATCTTTCCATTTCTCCTCCCCCCATTAAGGTGCTTCTTGGTTGATATCTGAAATAGCAACTGAATTTTTCATGCAATTACTCATTAGAAATCAACTGGAACAGCTACAATAGAATGGTGATTCTTGAGAAGTTCAGGATTTATTTAGCTTTTGAATTTTACTCACCATATAAAATGTAAGTCCCAAGTGGTTTGAGTAGACTGAGGCCTTTACCAGTATTTTCACCGCAAAGGCAATCCAGGACAATATCTACACCATCTGCAGAGATTCTGCAAAGCACAGAAACACCGTGATGATACCTGCTACTCAATGTCATCATAACTTCAAACAATCAGAAAACAGGACAGTTGTTATGTGTGGACTACTTGTGTATCAGGTGCTAGGCTGTCCTGGGGAGGTGAAGACCCAAATCCACAAATACTGAATCTACAAGATCTCTTTAGAATTCCCATGATGTTATTTGAGCATTTCCCTCCCTAGACATTCTACTTTAGCCACTGTTTGAATCAGGGGTGAAATCCAGCAGGTTCTGACAGGTTCTGGAGAACCGGTAGCGGAAATTTTGAGCGGTTCGGAGAACTGGTAGTGGAAATTTTGAGTAGTTCGGAGAACTGGCAAATACCACCTCTGGATGGCCCCAGAGGGCGGTAGGAATGGAGATTTTGCAATATCCTCCCCCCAGGATTGGGGAGGGAATGGGGATTTTGCAGTATCCTTTCCCTGGAATGAGGTGAGAATGGAGATTTTTCAGTATCCTTCCCTTGGAGTGGAATGGGAATTGAGATTTTGCAGTATATGGAGACAAGTCCTGTTTATCTGTCCGTTGCCTTGATAGTGGCTCTAACTCCTGCCTTTCAAGGTCATTCCCAATGCCCTCTACAAAGTCTTTGTAGCAGATGAGAAAGGTAATGCATAAAGGTCAACTATTAAAATATTTAGTTTGGAGTAACCTATGGCTCTCTGCAGAGATACAAATAGCAGCCCAGCAGGTAGAATGATTTGGCCAACCTTGCTAATATTGAAAGGCAATGTAATGTCAAGTCTGCTTAGTGCTGAATAGGAAAACTTCAAATCAAAGAGTTGCAGCTAGACTGGGAGGTTTTTTTTTTAAGGGTTAGAAGAAAACAAAGAGAGCCTGATTCTTTACCAAGAAAACTACAGAGGCTTATTTATGGTATCTATAAAATCACCAGGAGCTGTCTTAAATTCAAAGGTGAAGTTGTCTTTACCATTGCGGATATTGTCCCCTTGTGAACAGGGATATTTTATTTGCCCTCACAATCAAGTATTATTTCCTATACTTTTATAAGGCATTCTATTGTTAAGAACCTACAAGTCAGAGCTGTTCAATTTTTTTAATCTTGCAATCAATTAAAATGAAAATACAGACCATCTACAGCAGGGGTCTCCAACCTTGGCAACTTTAAGACTTGTGGACTTCAACTCCCAGAGTTCCTCAGCCAGCTTCCTCAGTCTTAAAGTTGCCAAGGTTGGAGACCCCTGATCTACAGCATTTAGAAAATGGAGAACATACTTCTCTATATGTAGAGATGAAGAAACAAAATTCACTCTCTTCTTTTGATACTCTTCTTTTACTCATTCTGAACTTTCTTTTTCCCCCCCCTGCTTTTTCTCTTCCCTGCCCTAAGCTAAAGAAGGAACAGTTTCTATAAGAAGTTGGAACATCTTTGTAGACATTCTTAAAAATTAAGCCAAAAACCCCATAAAAATAGGTTGTAGCCAACAGATGTTTTGGAGGATCCATGGAAGAAAATGCCAGACAGAATGAGAGTAAATTCATATGCTTATTTCAAATTTCATTGTGAGCTTCTTTAGAGCCACTTATGTACAAAAAAATCAAAGGCAAATGTGCAATGAGAAGCCAACTTCAGTGCCTATTCTCAAAAAGCAAATTCCATGTTGTAAATTTAAATCTACATCTTTCGGTCTGCCAGAACTCTGGGCTAAAATGTCTTACAATCAGCCCCAATGGATGCGGTTGATGGATGATGAAATCCAAAGAATCTGGATGGCACCAGGTTGCTAGGTTTCTGCCTTAAATTAACCAAATCTGTGAAAAACTAGCTTCAACCATTCTCTACATAGAATATATGCATCAGCCTCTACAGCAGTTGTTAAAAGATTGTTTCAATGGCTCACTTCAATTAAATAATGATGAAAATCACTGGTGCACTCATTACGGATAATTGTATTCTACAGAGTCTGAAGGGCATAAGGTGCACCAAATAACTTCTAACTCCCAAGACCAGCTTTATCTCATGACAATTGTTGTCTGAAATTGGTTAATAGCCGTTATGAGGATATAGGTTAAACTTACTGACCTAGATTATGGATCTTTTTTTCCCCCTTTTCTAGAAACAGGAAAAGCAGTGGGCATCTGATGACAAGAGAAAGTGATGGAATTATATTACATGTAAATAGTTTGCTAGGATTAGGATGTTATCTGGCCATACTAAGCTATGGAAAAATTGTTTATAAAGCTCATTTTAGTTCTGCACTTCCCCCAAAACTAGCAATCCAATTGCTGGTCAACACGTTTCACAGCACAATCTGTATGTTTAAAAGAATGGTGGAATTGCAGGATTCAGCCACATCAGTGAAACAAAATTTTGATAAGTATCCTTTAAGGAAGAAAGTTATGGATCAAAAGGTACAGGCAAAACAGACAGAAGCAATTTGTCTTATTTTCCATCCTGAGTAAAAATAGAATAGAATAGAATAGAGCTGGGAGCCCGCTGCTCAAGCAGGCTATACAATCTCAGAACCTATACAATCTCAGACAAGTGACTGTCCAGTCTCTTTTTTAAAACCATCGTGGAGCATCCACGATTTCTGAAAGCAAGCTATTCCACTGGTTAATTGTCCTTACTGTTAGGAAGTTTCTCCTTAATTCCAGGTTACTTCTCTCTTTGATCAGTTTCCAACCATTATTTCTTGCCCTCGTGCTTTGTAGAATAATTTGACCCCCTCTTCTTTGTGGCAGCCCCTCAAATACTGGAATACTGCTATCATGTCACCCCTAAATCTTCTTTTCTTTTAGAGTAGCCAGACCCAAAATCTGCAACTGTTCTTCATATGGGAAGATGGGATTCTAAAGATTATACTTCATTATACTTCTAAAGAGAAGGAATTATTTTGCGACCCTGTGATCTGTACAGGGGGGCCTCTCTGATGAGAGCAGTTTGCAGATTAGCTCACTTAATTGTGATCCCTTTGCTATGGCATCCAACAAAATGGTAACAGCCACAAAAAGCAGAAGTACCAGCAAGGTTGGAGAAGAGGGAAAGCCATCTTTCAGAAGGATAGTGGGGGAGATTGCTAAAGGCAGGAAAATCCTAAAACAGTTCACTGAAGACTGAGCTTCTTGCAAAGCACGGTCTGTTTGTTAAAGAAAACCAGAATGTCAATGTGCAGATTCTGTAAGGATGCCACTCCGTGTGCTAATAACTGGGATCATCGCAGCCAATTTTTGCTATAATCTTCAGTTTATAGTTCTCCGACTTCAGTTCTCAGTTCTTGATACTCTGTGATCTTCTCCAAGTCTTTATCTTCTACTCTTCTCTTGTTATCGCCACATCAATTATCCACACTTCCTTCTTCTTATAGCTGGTGTGTTATGAGCCAAGACTTTCATCGTCATTATTACTATATTTTTTTGCCTGTGCCCTGTGCAGTTGTTGAGGAGTGCTAGCTAACAGCATTTCTTTTGATCATTTTTCTTTTACAAAAGCCTGCTGACTAACCTCTCTTTTAAAAAAAGAAAGAAAGATGAAAGCAGAGGGGGGGAGGCAAACCTTTTCTTCTGCATCTATAACTTACGGAGTACATAATACTGTATTTGCTCTTCAAGAGAACAAATTATGCTCTAATTAGAAAGTAAGTGATACTCGTAACCTGCTCCCAGATTTCAGTTTCTACCCACTTACTCTGCGAGGCAAAATAATAAGGAACAAAGGCAGGAAAATCTCCATATTGTTGGGTTGTGAAGATTCTATTGCACGATGTTATGATTTTTCCACTGTTTCTGTCGAACAAGCTATAATTCTGATTAAGTACGCAAAGTGGGGTTAAGACAGGGATGTCTTAGGGGTGCTTAGATCTGGCCTGTGGGACCGCCCAGGAAACAGCAAAGGACCAGCCCGCGTTCACTCTGCCAGCAAAAAGAAAGCTAAGGAGAGCCACGTGTGACCCTCCCAGGCTCTGTTTTCAGTCATGACGGCCTCTGCCAGCGAAAACGAAGCTCACACGCGGTCCCCCCCAGGCTCCGTTTTCACTGGCAGAGGGCTGCAGGAGGCCGTTGTGACTGAAAACAGGGCCCAGGGGAGCCACATGCAGTCCTCCGAGCTCTGTTTTCACTGGCAGAGGGCTGCAGGAGGTCTTGTGATTGAAAACAGGGCCCGGGGGAGCCACGCGCAGTCCTCCAAGCTCCATTTTCACTGGCAGAGGGCTGCAGGAGGCTGTTGTGACTGAAAACAGGGCCTGGGGGAGCCACGCGCAGTCCTCCGAGCTCTGTTTTCACTGGCAGAGGGCTGCAGGAGGTCGTTGTGATTGAAAACAGGGCCTGGGGGAGCCACGCGCAGTCCTCCAAGCTCCATTTTCACTGGCAGAGGGCTGCAGGAGGCCGCCTGTGACTGAAAACAGGGGCCGGGGGAGCCACACGCACTCCTCCAAGCTCCGCTTTCACTGGCAGAGGGGTGCAGGAGGCCATCACAGCTGAAAATGAGTGACATCGAGTTTACACAAATAATCTTGAGCTGGCCACGCCCATCTGTCTCCCATTTGATCTCCCAATGAGATCAAACATAACCCTGATGCGGCCCTCAATTGAATAGAGTTTGACATCCCTGGGCTAAGACATAACCGACAATGTTTGGGGATGAGGAGAAGAATGACAAAATGAACAGTACAATGCAATCATGGCCTTTTTATACAGGTAGTCTTCAAGCGACGACCACAATCGAGGCCAAAAATTTATGTTGATAAGTGAAACATTTGTTAAGTGAATTTGCCCTATTTTATGACCTTTCTTGCAACAGTTGTTAAGTGACTCACAGCATTTGTTAAGTTATTAACACAGTTGTTAAGTGAAAGAATCCAGATTCCCCATTGACTTTGCTCGTCAAATAAAAATAGATTATAGATTAAGGGAGCACAAAAATAGATTAAGGGAGAGGGTTTTTTTTTCCACATCTGGATTCCCTGACTACTATCTCTGTATATGTAAAAGAAAGATTCAGTAAAGCGAATATATTGTAAATGTGATAAATCTACCGGAGACCTCATAACATTTTATTTCCCATTGATAATTGGTTACATCGCTGTTATCCAGAAATACAATCTAGGAGTTGCCAAACAAAAAACCCCAAAACCACACACATTGTGAGACTTTTTCATTTTTTACTCTAAGAGACAATAAATAAAATAGGACAATAAAAATATTTTTTCCAAAATGAATTTGTCATCTCCATTAGCTTCTTAAAGTTCTCATTAACAATTTTCCACTCTCAAGTAAAATGCAAGCTTGCTCACTTACTTTTTAACTTCTTGGACATAATCCATATTTCGGTCAAACAGGTAGGTCACAGACTCTTTAATGGCCTCATGCTTGAAAGAAGAAGCCGTTCCAAAGACAGTAACATTGGGAACCGTTGAGCAGAGCTGAGCAATAGCTTGTCCCTACAAATGCATTTGTACATTAGTTGCATGGATATATCAAATGTGTTTACCATTCATTACTGAGACTGTGTAATTGGCTCTCTGCCAAAAAGTGACCTGAAAATACTTTTATTTATTTACCTACTGCTCAAAATCAATGTTAGGTTATGCAATGTTATGTCACCATTGGGCAATATTATGTTAGCATCGCTTGCCATTTTTGAACTCCCCCCCTCCCCAAGTTACTTGTAAACTGTGTTTAAATAAGAGAAATTTTGAAAAGTAGTATATTATTTTGATATATAGGTAAAGGTAAAGGTAAAGGTTCCCCTTGCACATATGTGCTAGTCTTTCCAACTCTAGGGAGCGGTGCTCATCTCTGTTTCAAAGCCAAAGAGACGCCTGAGACTGTCCGAAGATGCCTCCATGGTCATGTGGCTGGCATGACTAAATGCCAAAGGCGCACGAACCACTGTTCCCTTCCCACCAAAGGTGGTCCCTATTTTTCTACTTGCATTTTTTTACGTGCTTTCGGACTGCTAGGTTGGCAGAATCTGGGACAAGTAACAGGAGCTCACCCCATTACGCGGCACTAGGGATTCAAACCGCTGAACTGCCGACCTTTCGATCGACAAGCTCAGTGTAGCCACTGAGCGTAGGATTAAAATTAGGGCCAGATTTAGGAGAACACTGTTGTTTCTAAGACATGATTGGATCAAAGAACCTCATATTGCCACTCGGCCACATGTAGCCACTGGTTAAGATGTTGTGTTTGTAGTTGTATGATTTGCCAAAGGTGACAGCAGTTACTTGACTTTAGATGATCTTACAAAAGCTAAGCAGTCAGATCAGACTACTAAGAGCTGCATGGGGAACTTCCAAGATGTTCTAGGGGCTATGATCTACACTGGGAAACTGAAATAAAAATTCATCTAGAAGAAAAGTGTAACCTCAATTCCAAGCGATGGCCAAGTCAAGATATATATTGTATTTTACCAGAGTACAAAGGTTTCTCATAATGTGAACTCATTGTAGATAGGAATTTATCTTTTAATGAAGAGAATCAATTGGATAGCTTCCTCATTTTTCAGGCCTTCAAATCTTAGCCAAGAAGCACTTAGCTCTCTGTGGTCACAATGTTGGCGCAAACTCTGATTACGGACCTCAACTGAACCTAGATTCCAAGCCCAGTTTAATTTGTAAAAGCATTAACAATCCAAACTTTCAAAAAGCTCCACTACAGGCATAAAGTACGTGCCAAATGTTGTATTTCAGCTGCAAATGGGATTCCTGGGGATTGAGAGAAGAGGATGTCTTTCCAAACTCAATTACCAGCTGAAATTGCAATGTTAACCATTCAGGTCTAGTTCCTTCTGTTTGCTGATGATTTCCAATCAACAAGGAAAAGGATGATTCATAGAAAAACACTGTTGCCTGCCTCTCACAAGTGCCTCAGTCATTTATGCCCAACGAGTTGGAGAGCTTTTTGTGCAATGCATCACGGAGGGAGAACCAGGGGTAGGTTCCTGGGGGTTCGGCAGGGTTCAGGCGATCCTCTAGCCAAGGATCACCAGGGTTCGGCGAACTCCCAAATGCCACCCCTGGCTGGCCACGCCCCTCCCCTCCTGCCCTGCCCCTCCCAGGAGTCTCCATACAGCCCATTCCAGGTAAGTGCAGGTAAGTGCAGGGGCCACGTGAAGGGTCTGAGAGGGCAAAAATGGGCCTACCGGAGGTTCTGGAAGTCCAGAAACGGGTTTATTTCTGGCCTCCGGAGGGCCTCCGGAGCTTGGGGGAAGCTGTTTTCGCCCTCCTGGAGGCTCAAGAAAAGCCTCCGGAGCCTGGGGAGGGCAAAAAAATGCCCCCCTCCCCCACCGTGGTACAGGCGGCTGACTAGGCCATGCCCACCCAGCAACAGGGCAGCGTTGCTAAACGATCTGAAGCCCACCCCTAGGGAGAACTGTAGTGAGTACACTTTTAAGCAATCAAAATGGAACACACCTTCTGTACATCCAACCAGCCTATTATTTTTAAGACCTTTACTCTGCAAAAATATTGGAGAATATTCTTTAAAGCTAACCTGTGCTCTGATACAGGGAAATCAATGCTGTAACTAACATAATGAACATTTTCTCCCTTTAGACCAGGAATACCTGAAATACTTGAACATTTTTTTTTAATAAGGACCTTCATAGGGAATTTGCTTCACTTCATAGCCCATCTTCTTATGTGTTCTGATGCTTGCTAAGTTTCCATACTTTAGCTGAGAAGCCCCCTGGTAACACTTATCGCACTTTCCTTTTAATTCACACACTTTGGGTTTGTAGAAGGAGGGAATCGCTGTCTTTTTGGTAAATGGACTGTTTTATTTTATGATATTTGTTCTGCTGCATTATTTCTCACCTATGTAAAAGTACCAGGAAGTTGCTCTTCAACTGGAATAAAGGATTGTTTTATTCTCTTAGGGCCTTCAGAATTTAGGCAACGGTTAAATTGGGAAAGATACAATAGAATAACAGAGTTGGAAGCGACCTTGGAGGTCTTCTAGTCCAACCCCCTGCTTAGGCAGGAAACCCTACACCACTTCAGACAAATGGTTATCCAACCTCTTCTTAATAACTTCCAGTGTTGGAGCATTCACAACTTCTGGAGGCAAGTCGTTCCACTGATTAATTGTTCTCACTGTCAGGAAATTCCTCCTTAGTTCTAAGTTGCTTCTCTCCTTGATTAGTTTCCACCCATTGCTTCTTCTCCTGCCCTCAGGTGCTTTGGAGAATAGCTTGACTCCCTCTTCTTTGTGGCAGCCCCTGAGATATTGGAAGACTGCTATCATGTCTCCCCTAGTTCTTCTTTTCATTAAACTAGACATACCCAGTTCCAGCAACCGTTCTTCATATGTTTAAGCCTCCAGTCGCCTAATCATCTTGGTTGCTCTTCTCTGCACTCTTTCTAGAGTCTCAACATCCTTTTTACATCATGGTGACCAAAACCGAATGCAATATTCCAAGTGTGGCCTTACCAAGGCCTTATAAAGAGGTATTAACACTTCACGTGATCTTGATTCTATCCCTCTGTTTATGCAGCCTAGAACTGTGTTGACTTTTTTGGCAGCTGCTGCACACGGCTGGCTCATATTTAAGTGATTGCCCACTAGGACTCCAAGATCTCTCTCACAGTTACTACTATTGAGCAAGATACCACATATAATTATTATATAAGATAATTATTAAGTGAACAGTCTATTATTTGGTTTAAACAAACCACTCTTGAAGTGAATTGGAGCATTTGCAAAGTGAACTGTCAAGATTCATTCTTGAAAAAAAGGAGAGATGTAGGAAAATTTCATCAGGTTTGCAGTTTTAAAGCAAAGTGCCCTGATTTGGATATTTCCTAGACATAGGAACAAAGCAGAACTACTAACCTTCCCCTTAGTAACTCCCTGGAGATCTGGCAATGCAGCATTTGGCTCAATAACCACATATAAAAATAGGAACATTCAGGAGTATTTCCCACAGAGCAAAGGGCTTCCATGTTTAAAATATTTATGGCTAGTAGAGTTTTGCATTAAACCTTACATTTTAATCTATATTTTAAAGACATCATTTGCAGAGTGATGTGGAAATCTGACAGAATAGGCTTCTTGGTAATGAAAAATGAACATGCTTTGATTTAGGCAGTATCCCTGTAGAAGGCACACACTCAAATACTTTCCCTTTTGATGAATTTCCCAGTTTTGCTCACAGGGTGAGACACAGTTAGTACTTAGATCCAAATAACATACCTAGATGGAAAGTTTTTCTTCTCATGAGAAGGGAGAAACTGGGCTACTGGGTGGAAAGGAAATAAATAAAAATCAGATTAATTTCCCCCTTTATACTATAGGTAAAGGTAAAGGTTCCCCTCACACATAGGTGCTACTCGTTCCCGACTCTAGGGGGCAGTGCTCATCTCCGTTTCTAAGCCAAAGAGCCAGCGCTGTCCAAAGATGTCTCCGTGGTCATGTGGCCGGCATGACTAAATGCCAAAGGCGCACTGAACGCTGTTACCTTCCCACCAAAGGTGGTCCCTATTTTTCTACTTGCATTTTTTACGTGTTTTTGAACTGCTAGGTTGGCAGAGGCTGGGACAAGTAACGGGAGCTCACCCCATTACGCGGCACTAGGGATTCGAACCGCTGAACTGCCGACCTTTCGATTGACAAGCTCAGCGTCTTAGCCACTGAGCCATCACATCCCTTCTTTATACTATACTTATATTCCCAAATTAGTCAAGAGGTTCTCCAATTCATCAGAAATTAGATTTTTAGGTGCTTGCTGGGATGAAGAAAGGATGATCAGGCCCCTAACTATTGACAGCACTTGGTAGGGATGGTGATCGGATATTCAATGTTGGAAAATTCTGATGTTAAAATTGAACAGCCCTCTCTCAACTGGGGGAGGGGTGATACGACATCATCTATCTCTAGACTACAACACAGTCCTTTCAGCAGTTCCAAGAAGGCTCCACATCCATTTGCACCACTCAGGTGACCCTGAGGACACAGATAAACTTCCAAGTGGCCTCAACGACTCTCTAAAAAAGAATGGAAATGACCAGCTGTCTGCAAGGAATATAAATTCCTTCCATTCTCCACCATCCAGTCAGAGCTGAAGAAGCTTTTCTTGGATGAGAAGCAAAACGTCTTCAAAGAAAAAAAACCAAGAAGTCTGTTGAAAAAAAGCACCTTTGGGATAAGAATTCATTCTTGCCATGCTTCTGCCCTGAAGATCTGAGAACAAACATGGGCACCCATAGGAGATGTTGCAAAGGTATCTTGAAATTACAGAAATAGCATCAGAAAAGCTAAAGCTCAGAATGAGCTGAAAACTGGCAAGGTATGCTAAGATTTTTTTTAAAGGCTTTTTTTCTCTTTAAATTAAAAACCAAAACAAACCCTGATAACTGCTTCTTTAAAATCTAGGCCATTCCTCCAATGCTTTCATGTCCAGTGAACAATTAAAAAAAATACCCGGTGGTGGGATTCAGCCAGTTCGCACCACTTCGGGAGAACCGGCTGTTAACTTTCTGAACAGTTTGGCAAACTGGTTGTTGGAAGAAATCATTAGGGCAGAGAACCGGTTGTTAAATTACTTGAATCCCACCACTGAAAATACCCCTGCTGAAAAAGTTGCATTCCTCTCAAAAGGAATGGCCCTAGCATTCACCCATCTCCTGGGCAGCTTTTCTTGCAAGGGCAAGAAATCAATTTGTCCAACACTTCAAAAGACTTCCCACACTTTTAATATGGCAAGATCTCATGTGCTCCTGGAATGTTTGGAGTCCTTGAAACAATGACATGGAACTTTTTCATTAATGCAAAACGAAGTCCAAGATTCTTGGGCTACAGGACCTCCATTGTTTTACTGGATGGCTCAAGAATGCTTGTGACATTTGGAAATAAATGGGGTACTTTGGCTGTCCTCCTCCTGGTAGACATTAAAGCCCTGGAATATGTTATCCACATGAGCCTAACAAATCACGCTCTTGGGGCTATGTCCAATGCCTACTCCCTTGCATTTTTTATAAACCAGCTTTATAGGCAATAATTGTTTTGGATTGTACTGCTGGAGATATTTTTCCTACCACAAGCTAGTGTGGGAGTCTCCAGACTGACCTTTTTTTTTTTTTGCAAGTGTTTTGTTATTAACTACATGATTGTATGGGGTTATTTGCAAACTCGATAAATGCTCCTGTGGAGTTCACTAACTCCTTCCAAAGTTCTCTTGAACCCAATTTTTTTTCCTGGCTTCAGATGTTTTGAATGGTCTGCATTTGGGTGGGGGTTTTTTTGTGGGGAGTGGTTAGTAGGAGGAAGAAAATATTCAAGAAAAATAAAGATCTTCTTTATTTACACTAAATTATAATATTGTGAGATTATAATTCCAGACCGTTATTGCAATGGCTCAGGAGTAATCATTCAACATGAACAAGGGTATAGTGGTAACATGGGCTGCTCCAATTATTTTATTGTCTTTGTTAGGCAGTTTGTAACTTACATGATCAAGATTTTGGCCTAGGTCAGGGCTGTCAAACTCGATTTCATTGAGGGCCGCGTCAGGGTTGTGTTTGACCTTGGGGAGCCGGGGTGGGCGTGGCTAGGGTGGGCGTGGCCAGCTCAACATCACTTGTGTCGGGCGTGCCTGTGGCGGCCCGAGCACTCTGCCAGCGAAAACGGACTGCCAAGCATCAGGGTTGTGTTTGACCTTGGGGGGCCAGGGTGGGTGTGGCCAGCTCGACATCACTCGTGTCCGGGGCGCCTGTGGTGGCCAGAGCGCTCTGTCAGCAAAAACAGGCTCCATTTTTGGCTGCGACAGCCTCCTGCAACCCCTCTGCCAGCGAAAACGGAGCTTGGGAGTGCTGCCTGTGGCCCTCGCGAGTTCCGTTTTCACTGGCAGAGGCACTGCAGGCCGGTCCTTCGCTGTTGCTAGCACGGCCCCGTGGGCCAGATCTAAGCACCCTGCAGGCTAAATCTGACCCTTGGACCTTCAGTTTGACACCTCTGGCCTAGGTAAAGCTTACATCTTTGTTTTCCAAAGCACTTTGTGACATGTCATTGAATATCTCTACTTTTTTAAAAAAAATGTTCATAAAATCCTGTTAGATTATTCCAAAACCTACTCAACTGAGTATCTCTACTTCTACATGGAAAGTCCATATACGTTCACTTTTGGAAGCTCCTGTTGCTCTTTCTCCGTTTTAACTTACCCAGCTCTCAATGTTCATCCCATTTTCAGCAATAGCCACAGATTCAAAGCCAGAATTCACAAGCCCATAATTATTCTCGTATTTTATTCTGAAAGGAAGTCATTACAGACTTTCTTGGTCAAGGTGCCAGTTTTCTTTCAACAAGCTGGGCTTGAAACAGCACATATGGCATTGAAGTACACAAAATCTGCTAAGCAGACTGAATTCCAGCAACTGCTTTGTTTTAAATCCAATCCTATTTATAGAGTGAAATTGAAATTTGATTTTTTTTTGTATCTTTTTCTTCTATTAACATGACGTAATCCCCCTTGAAGAAACTTTCTTTTGGGCAGGAGAGACTTTTATGTGGTTGGATGGGGTTTTTTTGACATCTAGCCCTCTCAATCTATAAAATGGAACTGCACAATCCACAACAATAGCAATTATTAATACTGTAAAAAAGGTAAAGGTTCCCCTCACACATAGGTGCTACTTGTTCCCGACTCTAGGAGGCAGTGCTCATCTCCATTTCAAAGCCAAAGAGCCTGCGCTGTCCAAAGATGTCTCCGTGGTTATGTGGCCGGCATGACTCAATGCCAAAGGTGCACGGAATGCTGTTCCCTTCCCACCAAAGATGGTCCCTATTTTTCTACTTTCATTTTTTACGTGCTTTTGAACTGTTAGGTTGGCAGAAGCTGGGACAAGTCACGGGAGCTCACCCCGTTATGCGGCATTAGGGATTCGAACCGCTGAACTGCTGATCTTTTGATCGACAAGGTCAGCATCTTAGCCACTGAGCCACCACGTCACTTTATTAATTTATTAATAATCAAAATTGCAATTCTTTATAGGACAGAAGTGAAATGGAATCAACTTACCACTCCGCCCCCAGCAGAATGAACCAGCACTGACATGCCTTCTCGCAAGTTGGCAACTTCAAAGAGCATCATATACGCCGTTACAAAGTTCATAGGAAAAGCAGCTGCTTCGGAGAAGCTCATGTCATCGGGAATGTGGTACACAAAGTCAACAGGTGTGCATACAACCTCCGCCCAGGCGTTGTAGTTAGTAAATGCCATGACTCTGTCTCCAATCTGAAACCATTTGAAAGAAACACGGTCCAATTACAACCTTCTGGATAATCCTCACCGAGGCACCCCCAAAATACAAGCTGGCTTCAGACCATTGGCAGTTATCCCTTGGTGACTGTAACATCCAGTGATTAGGGCTACAATCACATATGGTGATGGCAGAGGAGAATCAATCACTGTGGACATAAGAATGATGCAAAATGTGTAGAAATATATCAGCTATTTTTTATACCATATTTCTACCCCATTTTTCCTCTGGGCAGGACTATATTTTTTTCCCTGAAATAGAGCAATAGATCTACTCAGTTTCTCAAATGAGACCAAGACCTCCTTCTGAAGCTAGAAGAGTTATACAGAAAATAGTCTGTCACAAAGGTCTCCAAATTCAGCAATTTAAGATTTGTGCATTTCAGTTCCCAGAATTCCTCAGCCAGCCATGTTGCCAAGTTTGGAGATTCCTGGTCTATATCATAAAACCTACCCAATGCTTTCCGTAATATTTTGGGAAGGCAAGTTCAAAGTAATCAGTGGTTTATTGTTTAAGAGCCACGGTGACGCAGTGGTTAGAGTGCAGTACTGCAGGCTACTTCTGCTGACTGCCGGCTGCCTGCAATTTGGTAGTTCGAATCTCACTAGGCTCAAGGTTGACTCAGCCTTCCATCCTTCCAAGGTGGGTAAAATGAGGACCCAGATTGTTGGAGGCAATATGCTGACTTTGTAAACCGCTTACAGAGGGCTATAAAGCACTGTGAAGCGGCATATAAATCTAAGTGCTATTGCTATTGCTAAACCAATTTATAGAGCTGGCTTATTCCAACCCAAACAAAATCAGTCCTATATGCTCCACATTTTAAATAGGTTAAAAAGTTGTTTAACAGTCATTGCAAATCCACCCCCTCCTGGCATTTTTAATATCTGTGGATTTAAATTCATGTATAAGCTGCTTCACTATGCTGAACTGTGTTTCAGAGAACACTGTTTGATTCAGACTGCAACATGTGTATCTCTGCATTCTTCTGCCTACAGTACATTCAACTTTTATCAGTTGCTTTTGATAGTTTTTAAAGAAGGAATACATTCCTTACCTTGGTCATATTTACGGCAATTATTCATACAATAAAATATGGGGAGAGGGAAAGGAAGACTGTTTTCACATATAAAGCAGCAAAAATCAATTTTTAAAACTGGATGTTATTGTTCTCTATAGCATGTTCAAGTACTCAGTGCAGTTTCATTCAGATGTCAATACAGAATTACAGCGTTAGAGGAAAGAAATGAAATTAAACTGCAAAGCTGGCTCGCCTATTGATAACAATTCAAGGCATTTGCTACACTCACCTGATTCTTCACATGAGCTCACATCTGAAATGAAATTATTTGGGTTACTTAATTAGCTTGGTCCATTGTACTTTTTCCTTCTGAGAAGTGCATTATTATGACAAATGAAATAATTGCTAGTGAGCCAGCAGGAATACAGTGTTATGGCACAGTTGGGTGTCATTAATGTGAGTTACAATTCCATGCTTCAAAGATTGCCTAGCTGTAGAATAGTACAGTTCTAGCCATGCTTCTTTAGAAGCAAGCGTACATATTTATATTAATATATTATTCTATTAATATAATTTATATTAATAGTTATATTTATAATTGGCTCGGACCATTCCATTTTGGAGGTGGCTAGTAGACCAGTACAAGATCTCACTTCCACCCTATCTATGCATTGGTTCTTTTAATATTTTAATATTAATGTTAATATTTTTGCTTTCATGGTGATGTGTAAGTTGTTTTATTTTGTTATTTATGATATTTATAAACTGCCCAGAATTGCTTGGTAGAGAAGATGGGCAGCATACAACTTTAATAAATAAAAACAAATATTTAAGAGAGCTTATTTCTTTACAGGTTACTCAGGATTTCAGTCTTACTGAATCATGTTGCAATTTGGGATTTGCTTAGGAAGTGGTGAGTCTCGGTCTCAATCAACCTTGGGTCTGATTGAACCAAGGTGGGAGATAGCTATCTGGAGATGGGTCAGGTGCGAAATACAAAACAGCAACAGTGACCATTGACATTGTCGATGAACTTGAACTTAATAAAGTTCAATAACTTTGTTCAAGTTCAAGAAAAATGGACTTGATAAAGTTCAGACCTGGAACAACTTTAACTTCCAGCATCCCTCATCCCTATTTTCATTTAAAGGGATGGAGATGTAATCCAACAACAACTGGATAAGCTGGGGATCTTCACTGCTATCATAAATGTTGAATAAATAATGAAGCACCATAGCATGATTAAAATGGACAAATAAAACAGCTGAGTCTATAGAATGAATTAAGACCACCAACTATCATAATGTGATTTTTTTTTTTTAAAAAAAAAAAAAGGCAGACGACAAGCTAGGCTGACTTGAATCTATCTGTACATTTTTTTATAATATCAAATATTATTTTCATAAACTAGCAATACTAGGAACTGAAATGGGCCCCACCGGATGCAAATCCTATCTTCTGTTTTTAATGAAGACACCTATTAAATGTTAAAGGCTGTTAAATGCTCAATCAGTGATTATATCTTCCATCGTAGATCATCTCAAATTCTATTAGCTCTGCATGTCTTTTGGGCGACAACCTTTCAAAATGAGAAAATGAAATGGCAAGCACCTCTCCTTTTTATCTCCCACATATTCATTTATTCTGAAACTGCGCTTTTCGATCTTGATCAAATTCTACCGCACTCTTTTAGAGCCCAACTCGTCTTCACTCAAAGGCTGAGGGGCTGGATTGAGAAGTATATAGCACAGAAACATTTATAGCATCTTGAGTAGTGCCACATTTCAACTGCCTTGGGATATAGAAAAGGTTACAAAGGTTGTAAAATTTGCTGGTAGCTTTAAAATGTTACTGAAACAGGATGACACATCTATTTCTCTACCTCTTCTTCCCCATCAGCAAAAAGTAGGATTTTTTTTATGTGAAATGAAATGGTTTGCCTGCTTTCATTATTAACAAATAAAAAATGATACAGTATTTGCATACAATGGGTGAAAGCTTAGAATTAAGTTGAATATCTCAACTACAGTCCCGTTCCAAAGAAGTGGAAACAAACTCATTCAACTGGTTGATGAATTGCAGATTTGGAGTGAAGTTTTTTGCAACCATAACTGGTGGAAATTCATTTAGTGCCTTCAGTTGAATAGATATACACTGTACTAGTTTGTTTACCCAATATGTTAAAGTCTATTTGGCTTGAGAAGAATGAACTACAGTTGACTGAGTTTAACTACAGTTGACTGAGTTTACAAAACATGCTAAGTGTCTATGGAGATTCTCAACCATCCAGGTCATGGTAGTCCCAAAGATGTTTTTTTCAAAAGGCAACTGGACTTTCTTGGTTTCTCTTCCTTGAAAATGTTTCATTTCTCATCCAAGAAGCCTCTTCAGTTCTGAATTGAACTGAAGAAACTTCTTGGATGAAAAGCAAAATGTTTTTTTTTAAAAAGAAAAAAAAACCCAACAAGAAAAAGCATCTTGGAAAAGCACCTATGGAACACAACAGCTAAGTCACAAACAAGCAAACTGCAGTGAGCTCTTTCTAGAACCCCAATCTTTGGTGCTTAGTGGCACATGGGAAATTTTGAGAGTATGGGATGGACGCAGGCATTGAATGACAGCTGGGGTGGAAGGCTATTCCATTCACAGATTGGCTGGTTATGTTTACTGATTATAGTCCCAGATCAATAAAACACAAATATACTGTAAAATGTCAGAGTATATAGGGTAAGCCAACCTTGAAACAATAAATAATAAAAAGAGGGCACCATTCAAATTCTACAATCCATAGCTATTGCTGAGAAGTTGCTAATATTTTAAAGGGTTGCTTGCGTTTAATTTTTTTTAGGAGGAAGTCTGCAGTCTCTTGTTCAGTAAGACAAGTAAAATTTATTCATGCCAAATACTAAGGGTGATATAGTAGACAGTTGAACAATTCATAAGTTATTGTCTTGACTGCAGTCTGCACAGAGGTAAATGCAGTTATCTTCTGATTGTCTGAATAGCCCTGGGTTATTTATCATTGTATTGTCCGAAGAAAAAACAGATTTAGGGCCCAAAAGAAATTATTGCTTTTCCTTTTCAGCTGGCATCTCAAACTCAAGATTGCCATGAACGTTACTTGAGACTAGCTCAAAAGCCCAAAGGCCTTAACAATGAAATCTCTGGTGAGTCAAGAATGAAGGAAATAAGGGCACTAAGCATACCGGTGGTGGGTTTCTACCAGTTCTACAGGCGAACCGGTAGCGGCAGGGGTGGGAGGCTCCGCCCACCCGCCCGGATGTCATCACGAACGCTCTGTGCATTAGCAGAAGGTATTACGCATGTGCAGAAGCGCCACGCGCAAGCAAAGTGAGCGTGCGCACAGTTCCGAACCGGTAGCGAAGGTAAATGAAACCCACTACTGAAGCATACATATATTAAATAGATGAACTTTTACTATGAAACGTACCTACATTTTGGGTTATTTTATATAAGCCACTTGGAAGCAGGGATGGCTGTGGCTGGTTCTTGTGAGGGTGGAGAGCAGCTGGGACCATTGGAAGTTGAGGGCTACGTGGAAGCAAGGAAGGAACCCTGCTTAATGTGAATCCCTCAAGTTTCAGATGAGGCATTTCCTTCTAATTCCTAACAGAGTTTGGAATGCATCAGCCTGCATGCGATCCAGGGTCCTGTCATCACCTCCCTAAGCAGGCATCTACTTGAGGTCATTGGTAGAATTCAAATTTTTTTACTACCGGTTCTGTGGGCATGGCTTGGTGGGTGTGGTGTGGCTTGGTAGGCATGGCAGGGGAAGGATACTGCAAAATCTCCATTCCCACCCCACTCTGGGACCAGCCAGAGGTGGTATTTGCCGGTTCTCTGAACTGCTCAAAATTTCTGCTACCAGTTCTCCGAATTGCTCAAAATTTCCGCTACCGGTTCTCCAGAACCTGTCGAAACCTGCTGAATAGCACCCCTGCTTGAGGTGTTATTGGAAGAAGAAGGAGCAAGGCTAACTTGGCCAGTCACCTAGAATTATCTTGGATGAACCCAGTGAATGCCACCGTCCTAGGAATTGTTTCCAGTCCTCTCGCTTCAGCCCCAAGGAGGATCTGGCCAATACTGGTAAGCTACAACACTGTCCTGGCTAAGACAGCCAATCTTTTGCTGGGTTTACAACAATGGGGAGGGGGGGGACTTTTCTTCTTCTTGGTCACAGCAAGCCAACTCCCTCCTCCTTTTTTTTTACACTCCCCACTTTTGTCAAGTCTAGTTTGCTCTTGCCTCCCTTGTTACCATCCCACATCTTCTGAAATAAGATGGGAGTGGTAAGCCCTTGTCAGCTGAGACCTGTATGTTGCACTCTTTCAACTATCTTTTATTTATTTATTTATTTTACATAAAATGACTTGGTTTGTAAATCTGAGATTTTAGTATCTTAGCCTTTCAAGTTTCCTACTGAGAACTTCACCGTATTTGATTCTCCTTTTCATCCTATGCAGTTTGCCCTCAAGGGGTCTATATTCTATTAGGACCAAGCATGACTATTGTCATCAAGGGATGATGATGATGATGACAACGACTACGATGATGATAGTGATCTGTTTGTTTTTGCAGTACTGCACATCTTCTGCTATGTAGACAGTGTTGTTTTGGCTGCATCACCAATAGCGTTCCTAATGTGAATTTTGTTTTTTTCAAGAGAGAATGATGTTATGATGCCAGCCTTTTAAAACTGCTTTTATACCACTGCTGCTGCGCATTTGCTATATTTGTATTGATATATATATATTTATATAGCTGCTATATTTAGACCTATTTCTAAACCAGCCATTTTAAAACCAGTCTCCTGGTAGATATAGAACACAAATTGGAATGGGGATATGCAATCCTAATCCCAAAAGCAAACAAGCCATTTCATGGTTTGACCTGAGCTATGAACAAGACTATTTAATCATCAAGGGCTCTGTCACCATTTGAAATTCACTAATATCTGGGTAATTGATTTCTTCCGTTTTAGGGATTCCACTATATTCTTATCAAGAGGTGACGATTCACAATATTTTAGAATTCAACATTGGGAAGACAGGATATTTAAATGACAGTCTGCTGAATAATCTGATCTGCACATAACACAAAGCAATGATAGGTAGGTACACACATCACATTATAATAAAACCCAAACAGACCATGTTATCATTTATCACAGTGGTTCTTAAACTTTTCTTCACCACAAACCTTCCTTTAAATACCTTTTGTGGCCATGAACCATGGCCAAGGATCCCCAAGACCTAACTCAAGATTAACCGTGTTTTTCGGAGTATAAGATCACACTTGGCCAATAAAAAATTCTCTATTCTATTCTATTCTATTCTATTCTATTCTATTCTATTCTATTCTATTCTATTCTATTCTATTCTATTCTTCCCCCCCTCCAAAAGAGGGTGAAAATTTGGGTGCATTTTATACACCGAATGTAACCCCGCTCCCCTGCCCGCCCCCCCCTGCAGCCTGCTTAACACAAGCAGCTGATCAGCCTCCCGACCATCAGCTGTTTCAGGCTGCAGGGATTGCCATTGCCTATTGCCACCTACACACACTCCATTTTCGGCCTCTGCTGTTTGCTGCAAGGAGGCAAATTGCTGGGAGGCAGAGGCAGATTTTTTTTTCTTGTGCTAATCAGGCTGTGCTGAAAATGAAAATAAAACTGAAACAGGCTGTTTGCTACAAGGAGGCAAATTGCTGGGAGGCAGAGGCAGATTTTTTTTTCTTGTTTTCCTCCCCCCAAAAAGTAGGTGTCTTGTAGTCCAGAGCATCTTATACTCCAAAAAATATGGTAAATCATTACATTTCTTCAAGCCTTTATGGACCCCACATCTCTGATGATATTGTGGCCCCCCTAATGGGTTTGTGGGCCACAGGTTGAGAACCACTGGTTTATCATGGTTTATGGATATATTGTTTTGTTCTCAAGCACCATCATATTACCTCATAGCCTTTCACGTTTTCACCCAGAGCTTCTACAATTCCAGAGCATTCAAATCCAGGTATAAGTGGTGTTTTTGGTGGATTATCAATGTTCCCCTGGCGAACCATCAGATCAATAAAATTTAAGCCACTGTAAAGGGGGAAAAAAAATGAGAAGGGAAGATATGAAGGTCTACATTCCAAGGTAGCTGATAAACACAACCTATCATGCCATTCACAACCATATTTTAGTCACCAAAACCCAAAATGCTCTTTATATGAGATTTCTTTTCATTTCCCACTCCCCTAAGCTGAATTCACTACTCATCTTTTGGGATACTCTTTGGAGAAACTCAAGTTACCTTGTTTCCTTCTCTTTGTCTTCTTTGAGTAAGACAAAATAATTTCTGGTTAAAAACAGGCACCTCTTTACACATTTTTTTTATTTGATTTTATATGCTATAAATTGATTTAATTTATAAATTTGATTTATATTGTCCTTTTGTTGATTAACGTTCCCCCCACCACCACCCCTCCCAAAAATCAGCATGTTATCTTTGAAGTTTCATGAACTTAATCCCAAAAAAACAGGCAACAGCAACAATAGATTGAGCGATGTCTCATTCAATGTACATGAATGAGTACATTCTCTAGCAGTTTTTTCCAAAGGAAAGAGTCCACAATCTGAAGAGAGGAATAGGTTTTGCTTTTCTATATCTTCAAAATCTTCTACAGCTAAAAAACCTATTTTGTTTATGCTGCTTTGGAAAATAATATTAAAATAAATGTAAAAAAAAGATGTAAAAAAAAAAAGATGTGGAGACTCTAGAAAGAATGCAGAGGGATAGAATCAAGATCAGAGGAAGTGTTAATACCACCTTATTTATTTTTGTGATTTATATGCCACTATTCTCCCGAAGGACTCTATAATGCCTTGGTAAGGCCAGACTTGGAATACGGCATTCAGTTTTGGTCGCCATGATGTAAAAAGCATATTGAGACTCTAGAAAGAGTGCAGAGAAGAGCAACAAAGATGATTAGGGGACTGGAGGCTAAAACATATGCAGAACGGTTGCAGGAACTGGGTATGTCTAGTTTAATGAAAAGAAGGACTGGGGTGACACTGATAGTAGTGTTCCAATATCTCAGGGGCTGCCACAAAGAAGAGGGAGTCAAGCTCTTCTCCAAAGTAGCTGAGGGCAGGACAAGAAGCAATGGGTAGAAACTGATCAAGGAGAGAAGCAACTTAGAACTAAGGAGAGATTTCCTGACAGTTAGAACAATTAATCAGTGGAACAACTTGCCTCCAGAAGTTGTGAATGCTCCAACACTGGAAGTTTTTAAGAAGATGCTGGATAACCATTTGTCTGAAGTGGTGTAGGGTTTCCTGCCTAAGCAAGGGGTTGGACTAGAAGACCTCCAAGGTACCTTCCAACTCTGTTATTCTATTCTATTCTAAATTGAAAATATTAGGATTTCACAAAAATGAACCGTTCAGTTTTCAACTGAGCAGCAACAGACAATATACGGTGAAGAGATTGCAAATGGTTTAATTTTTAAGGAAGCTATTATGCTATTCTATATTAATGTAGCATGCAATTTTTTTAAAAAATGAAACGTAACATTCATTTCCCACAAATACTGGTAACTTTTATTTGATTGTTTCCCATGGTCCAATATCTTTCAAAAAGGCGGTTGTCAGATGATCCATGGGCTCCAGACTATTAATCAAATTGGTTATCATGAGCTTATTACGCATAGTCCCCGACTTACAAGCGTTCGTTTAGTGACCATTCAAAGTTAACAATGATGCTGAAAAAAGTGACTCATGACAAGTCGTCAATCACCATTGCAGCATCCCTACAGTCACATGATCAAATGTTGGGCACTTGGCAACTGGCATGTACTTATGAAGGTTCAGCATCCCGGGATCATATGATCACTACTTGTCAACTTTCCAGATGGCTTCCAACAAGAGAAGTCAATGGGGGAATCCAGATTTGCTTAACGACTGTATGATTCACTTAACAACGGCAATAATTTGCCTTAACAACTCTGGCAAAAATGGTAAAATGGCCTGTAACTCACTGAACTGTCTTTCTTAGCAATTGAGTTTTGTGGTCATAAATCGAGGACTACCGAACCTCCTTGTTACAACAGTTTCCTTGGATTTCTGTAGTATACCTATACAGTCTAAAACAATGAAGCAACCTTCAAAACTTGTGTGGGATTTTGGACAAAGGTATTTGAATAAGCCAAGAAATTAAAAGACGCTTGCTCCTGGGGAGGAAAGCTATGGCAAATCTAGATAGCATACCAAAAAGCAGAGACGTCACCCTGCCAACAAAACTGCATATCGTCAAGGCTATGGTTTCCCAGTTGCAATGTGAAGGTTGTACCATAAGGAAGGCTAAGCGCCAAAGAATTGAGGCCTTTGAACTTTGGTGCTGGAGAAGACTCCTGCGAGTCCCTTGGACTGCAAGGCGATCAAACCCGTCAGTCCTAGAGGAGATCAACCCTGACTGCTCTTTAGAAGGCCAGATCCTGAAGATGAAACTCAAATGCTTTGGCCACCTAATGAGAAGGAAGGACTTGCTGGAGAAGAGCCTAATTCTGGGAAAGACTGAGGGCAAAAGAAGGAGGAGACGGCAGAGAGCGAGGTGGATGGATGGAGTCACTGAAGCAGTCGGCATGAGTTTAAATGGACTCCAGAGCATGGAAGAGGACAAGAAGGCCTGGAGGAACATTGTCCATGGGGTCAGACACGACTTCGCAACTAACAACAACAAAATTGGAATAACCTGGTTCTGTCCTTGCGATTTTCAATTCCCACTAAATATGTTAGTGGAAATAAGACAATGGTTATCCCCAGGACTGGAGATTTTTTTTTTTCTGAAGCTAAACTGTTCGTTTTTTGTTTTATTGAAAGATAAAAATGTTATTCTTTGAGTACTTAAGCCTAATTTGCTGAAAATGGCTTCAAACTGGTGAACGCTGCCTCATTCTTTTTTATCGATGTGCTTTTTAAAGATTTTCTACATTCCAGTTAGACTCCTTTTCTCTGTCTCTGTCTCTAGGCTCCGACTCTCTCCTACTCCTTTTGAGTTAACATTTTAGCAGAAAGAAAGGAAATAACTCTTAATGGCTAACTCCAATATATAAAACCCTGAGATGGTGAAATAGAGAAGTCTTGGCATATTATTGAATCAAACGTTGCATTACAATAAAAAGGAGAAGAATGATAACTCTTCTCTAACCAGTGCTCATTGCTTTTTTTTTTTTCCAAACATAAGTCTCTGGTAAACAGTAATACGATGCTTAAGAGTTGTGGAATATATTTTATAAGGAACAGAATTGGAATATGAAGGACTGCATAAGGCAAATCAAGTCCACTGTGTAGCAAAGCAATGGAATGGAGCCAGAATATAGATGCTAGATGAAGACAGACAGTTACCATTTCTAATGCAGAATGAAATTTAATACCATCCCAAGATCAGACTGCATTCACTTCAACGCCCCAAGGGTAGGCAAACTATACATTCCAAGTGTTTTGGACTACAATGCCCATAATCCATGATCATGCCACCAGGTTAGCACCAGTTCTTATGACTGTACATAGGTTGACTTCAGTGGTGAAATCCAATTTTTTTTTTACTACTGGTTCTGTGGGTGTGGCTTTGTGGGCATGGTATGGCTTTGTGGGCATGGCATGGGAAGGATACTGCAAAATCTCCATTCCCACCCCACTCTGAGACCAGCCAGAGGTGGTATTTGCCGGTTCTCCAAACTACTCAAAATTTCCACTACCGGTTCTCCAGAACCTGTCAGAACCTGCTGGATTTCACCCCTGGTTGACTTTCTCCAAGATGATTTGGCCCCTGCCTGGTCCTTCAACTCTTTCAATGACACACTTATTGCCAAACTACTAGAATCAAGTACATTGACCTTGCTGTTTGGCTGCCCTCTTCCTATTATTCTTTCTATTTTCCCCAACATTATAGACTTCTGGAGAGAGCTGGCTCTTTGCAAAATGCGTTAAATACATGATTTGAGCTGATTATTTACACTTTAGAGTGAGAATTCTAAAATTCTAGGGATTCAGTAAAACTAGGCAGATTTCAAATAAGCAACAAGATCCAATGTATTCCTGGTCCTTTGCAATACAACTAATTGTTCCCATCAACCAGATGCTGTAATGCCTCTTTCAAGGTTAAGGTTTTTAAAAATAAGCACTGCAGCATTTCACCTTTATTTTTTTTTTCTTCCAATAAAAATGCCATGACTTTGTGTAATAGGAGCTAGACTTAGATGGCAGAAATGTGATTTTTTTTTCTGACCTGGTGGCACAAAGGAGATATTTCCATTTCTTGAACTCCATTGGAAAATGCTTCACAAGTGATACCTTCCTCATGCCAAATCTGCACTGAAACATTTCCTACCTTTTTATACTGCCAGAGCATCGATATTCACTCACCTATGAGTGCTTCTCGACTGGAATTTCATTTCAGCATGGATGCCAATGCAAGGTGACAGTACAAAGTTATATTTGCTATCAGGAGACACTAGTGACGTCAGGAGCTGCGGCTCCAGATTCTGTCTGTGGACATCTGATGCATGTGGACATTTCATGCATGGATGGTCTATATGGGAAATTCCATTTTCAAACGGGTGAAGCGTTTTAAATAATAGATTAGTCTTTCTCAGCTATACCCACCACTGTCTTACCCTTGGATTGAAAAAGGTATTTAGACTGAGTATCAAGCTCCCCAGTTTAAGCTTCAGGGGTGTTTTTTAAAGCTTTTGAAGCTCAGCCATGAGAGGAGGCCATTTTGAATCACTTCCCTGCCTATTGTTTTGAAAAATCTCTAGCTTCATAAAGAGCTGAAATTGTCTTCTCCAACTCCTGCTCACTCTACTAACATATCCTTTAAAACATATCCTCCCCATAAACCTGTGATTTCCCAAAATGTTTTTAACCAGGGCCCCAAATTGGTTAAGATTTCTAGGACTCAGCCTTACCTCTGGAGGTAATTTCCCCCAAAACTTGGTAGAATGAATTAACTTTTTGAGTGTCCTCTGAAACATGCACCTAACGGAAACTATAGTGTACATCTTGTATGTTTGCTACAGATCAAAGAGGTATTCCAGCTTATTGATAGGTCATTGGCCAAATAATTCCTATGTCTCTGTTTTGGATTTATAGGATAGTAGCACATACGTCATGGGAAGAACATATAGGAGATGGCACACATGCATATCCAAGAGAAACACAAAAAGACACTATGAAACTCTCTTCATTGGTCAAGGTTCCAAAATAATGTGGAAACCCCAAAAGAATACCCATAAAGATGGAATACACTCCACATTCACCGCCTGCTAATTAATTGTTGAAAATCTGGAGGCTGAAAGAAAAGGCGGAACACGCCTGAAATAGGCAAAATCAGTTGGATTCTCGAACTGAAACTCTGCAGTATGTTTTATTATGGTCAGCACCTATTTCCATCCATTTGGGAAACATGCACTTCTGATCACTTAATCACATACTATAGGAAAACATATAGCCTACAGTATTTCACCAGGATTGCATAAATATCAAGATAATTTTATATTTCTCTGCGGCTTGCAGAGCCTAAACCTGCTACAACACAATGTTGCCAACAGCGCTTAAAATCCCTCAAATAATGACCTGGATTTCAAACTAGCCTTAATGAGTATTTACATTGTTACTTAAGAGTATTTTGAATTGTTATACATTTAGTAACATATTAATTTTTTATGTATTTGTCTAATGTTTCTACTCCTCCTTATAGTTTGTAGATTTGTGTGTGTGTGTGTGTGTGTATCTATATCTATATCTACTGTACAGGGGTGAAATCCAGCAGGTTCTGACAGGTTCTGGAGAACCGGTAGCGGAAATTTTGAGCAAATTGGCAAATACCACCTCTGGCTGGCCCCAGAGTGGGGTGGGAATGGGGATTTTGCAATATCCTTCCCCCAGGAGTGGGGCAGGAATGGGATTTTGCAGTATCCTTCCTCTGGAGTGGGGTGGGAATGGAGATTTTGCAGTATCCTTCCCTTGGAGTGGGATGGGAATGGAGATTTTGTAGTATCCTTCTTCTGCCACGCCCACCAAGCCACGCCCACCAAGCCACGCACACCAAGCCACACCCACAGAACCGATAGTAAAAAAAATTGGATTTCACCCCTGCTACTGTGTGTGTGTGTGTGTGTGTGTGTGTGTGTGTGTCTGTGTGTCTGTGTGTCTGTGTGTGTATAAAGTGTTTTTCTATCGAGACACTTGGTCTACCCCAACATGTGGCTTCCTTTCGCCTTTCAGCTCCAATCCAGGAGCCCTCAAGCAGTCGCATTCACGACAAACCATTTTATATCAAATTTATATTTTGCTGATAAATATATATATATATATATGCACACACACACATTTTAAAAACTATATTATGTTTTTTTAATTCTGTGTAATTTTTATTTTAATATATTTTAAATAATTGTTGTATTCCACTTTCCTTATGCTAGTCTAGGACTATAATAAAGATTTCACTGATAGAGCAAACTCCCATTCTTGCACGTCATCATTAGGAGAAGGCAGTTTTAATATGGAACAGGAAGATGGAAGAGATGGGTTGGCGGTTAATTCTAATCCACTTTTATGTGCCACTTCCTAGTCTACTTTCCTTCCAATTATCCCCATTGTTTGGAATGGCCTTGTGGAACAGCAGTAAATATATCCTGCTGATTTAACAACAAACACAACATCAACCCCCCCCCCAAGATGTTAAAAGAGTTAAGACCAACAATTTAAAACCCAGAGACAGTCAAGACCAATAATTTAAAGCCGGAGAAAGATTACGTGCACAAACATATATTGTACCACTCTAATCTCTTTTAATTTTTTTTCAAACTGGAAAAGAAACAAAAATGTTCCAACAGGGTAAGTCCCATGACTTCTGGCTAAAGTACATTTAAGTTCATACAGTCACATACTTTCAGAAGAAACTAAGCAACACAATCCACCCTTGACCTACTTTCTTTCAGCTCAGAAGCTAAGCAGGATTGGGCTTGGTTACTTCCTTGGATGGGAGACTTTCACAGAAAACCAGCTAAATGAGAAAACTGTTAAGAACATCCTAGAAAGAAGGCAGCAGCAAATGACTGTTGCCTCCTGCCAAAACTGCACGTCTAGGTCGTTCCCATGAGTTGGGTTGAGCCAAGTTGGTCATGAACCGATTATGGAAAATATTGCATTTTCAGTAGATGGCAACAACTTAAACTTTGTTTGGGCTAGGAAGCTAAGCAGCACTAAGCAGCATAACTGTTACCTAGACAGGAGAATTAGTTAGTTAGATATCCTAAGGAATTTCAGGGCCACCAAGCAGATTAAAATAATCAGAAAGAAGATACTGGCCAACCACTCCCATATTGCCACCATAAAAACTGCATGGTTCTGCATGCAGGGAGTCATCAGGAGTCAAGCTCAACTCAAGGACCTTCCCTTCAGCCTCACAATGAGTAAGTTATCCTTTGCTTAAATACATGCATTTCCTTCAGGTAAGCAAAGGAGCTCAAGAAGGAGCATACCAGCATTGGCCTTTACAAGCCTGCTTTTTCCTTCTTTCTGATTTCTACTGCTCACTTTTAGAAATCCCAACCCAACCTTTTACTCAGTTTGTCAATATCTCAACAAGTTTTGCTGGCCTTGAATAATTCCAGCTTGTAGTACCGTGTTTCCCCGAAAATAAGACCCTGTCTTCTATTTTTTTGAACCCTGAAATAAGCACTTGGCCTTATTGCCATGTGGTCAAAAGCCCGATTGGGCTTATTATCAAGGGATGTCTTATTTTGGGGAAAACAGGGTAGCTGTGTGTCTAACTGTCACCAGCATCCTTCTAACAGAGAATTTACGGGGGGGTGGGGGTGGGGTGGGGAATTAGCTGGAAGAAGAAAAACAGGGATTAAGCGTAGAGCAGGGGAAAAATAGGATTTATTCATGAGCTTGACCGAAGAAAAGAACTTTAGGCGATCAGAAGGAAAGGCAATCGGTCCCTTATCTAGCAGTGTCAACATCCATACAGACACAGATGTAAGAGAAACAGGAAGGTGCCAAAAAAAAAAAAAAAAAAAGACCAAAACAGGCCAAAAATGCTGCTCGGATTCGGAAAAAGCTTTCTGATACACAGGTCCCTTTAAAAAAAAAAAAAGAAATGTTTGGGGAAAAAAAAAAACCTTGGAAAGGACTTCTAATACACTGGTCTTTTGGAGAAAAAAAGCATGACAAAAATGATTCACATTTTTAAGATTCACAGTCACCCCATTATTGAGAGGGGAGGAGGGAGGGAGGGAGAGAAAGAGAGAAGAGAGAGATGAAAAGAGAAAGAAATGGGGGGGGGAAGAGAGAGAAAGAAAAAAGAGAGTCATTTTCACTTGCAATCTTGTGCCCGTTTTCCTACGGAACGATGACTTAACGGCAAGAGCTGCATTTGTTGCTGAGTCAAAGCTCAGGCGGCTATTCTTACCGAGCTCCAACCAAAACGCTCCATAATTTGGGAATAAGCCCCCGTTTGTTTGTTTATAGAGGTTTTTTTTTAATGCCTCTTTTCCCCATGATGTTAAGAAAGGCACAGATTACAAGGACAAAGGGGAGGGGAGGGGGGCTCCCTATCTAATTCTTCACCCCCCCACACCCTCAGATTCAGCTGGAACTTTGTAAAAGTAGCTGGAGAAAGAGAGGGGGGAGCAGGGTTCTTTTTTGGGGTGTGTGGGTGAGACCACCCCTTTCTTCTCTTTACTCGTTTACTTCTATTGGAATTAAAGGGTCTCCAATGTCGCTGCCTCAGATGGGGGAGCCTCCCCCCCCTCCAACACCACCATCCAGACCCCCGTTTTGCCCATCAATGCAAAAGGCGGAAAGGATGGATGGATGGATGGATGGATGGATGGATGAATGGAAAGAAGGAAGGAAGGAAGGAAGGAAGAAAGGATGGAAGGAAGGAAGGAAGGAAGGAAGGAAGAAGGAAGAAGGAAGGATGGAAGGAAGGAAGGAAGGAAGAAGGAAGAAGGAAGGAAGGAAGGAAGGATGGATGGAAGGAAGGAAGAAGGAAGAAGGAAGAAGGAAGAAGGAAGGAAGGAAGGAAGGATGGAAGGAAGGATGGAAGGAAGGAAGGAAGGAAGGAAGGAAGAAAGGATGGAAGGAAGGAAGGAAGAAGGAAGGAAGGAAGGATGGAAGGAAGGAAGGAAGGAAGGAAGGAAGAAGGAAGAAGGAAGGAAGGAAGGATGGATGGAAGGAAGGAAGGAAGGAAGAAGGAAGAAGGAAGAAGGAAGAAGGAAGGAAGGAAGGAAGGAAGGAAGGAAGGAAGGAAGGAAGGAAGGAAGGAAGGAAGAAGGTTAGAGAGATGCTTCCAAACGACCGCCGGCTAACCAGAAGAATTTTTTAAAAAATAGTAATTTTTTTTTAAAACAAAAAACCCCAGAATACTGGACCAGGCTTTCACGCGGATCTTCAGCTCTCCTTCCTGAGGCTCCGGCATCACTTTTTTAGACACCCGGACCTTGTTGAGGCCCCCGAAAGCGGAGAGCACCACGGCTCGCATCTCTTTGGCATCCCCGGCTTTCTGGACGCCGCCGCCGCCGCCGCCGACCCCGCTGCTGTTGTTGCCGCCGTTGTTGCCGCCGTTCCCTCCGTCGCCGCCGCCGCCGCCTTCGGCCGCCTCCTTCTCGATCATCTGCTCCGTCTCCTCGGCTTTCTCGGCTCCTTCCTTGGCCATGGCGCTGCTCCTCCGGCGGCGGCGAGAAGGAAAGGACGGAGGGGCTGGAGAGCCGCGTTTAAGAGGGCGGGGGCGCGCGCCGGGGAGGGGAGGGGAGGGGGGGAGAGCCGGAGGACGGGAGCGCGCCTTGGCTCGGCCCGGCCCGGCTTCGCCCGCGAACCAACTCGGTCCGTCGAGTCCCCTCACCACACCTCACCCAATACGGTGGCGGCGGGGCGCGCGCGCGCGGCGGAGGTGCCGGGCGGCCAAGGGGGGCTCGGGGCGCGTGCCCGCCGGCTGGTTACCGTATCCCATGGCGTAGACGCGCAGAGATTTTTTTAATTTTAATTTAATTTTATTATTTTGCTTCAGCGCAGCCCGCCCCGGGTTTGTTAAAAGTCGACGGGAGCGGATTGTGTGTGTGTGTGTAGGGGAGAGGAGGGGTTGTTGTTGCCACAAGGTTTTGCCTGAGGGGAGGAGAGACGGAGGCGACTTCGGACGGCAGCTTCTCGGCTGGCTTCGGTCAAGCCATCGGCTTTTCAACAACAACAACAACAACAACAATTTTTAAAATATTAAAATATTCTAATATTTATTTAATAATCATATATTTTGAGAAGATGCTTGGTGGATACCTAGGACGCTGGCAAGCAACCCGTACCAACCATTAGCACCCGTCACTCGTATTTGTGACACATTTTTAAATGTTCAGTTGACGGAGTTTCATGTTTAATGAATAAAAGATAATAATAATTTTTAAAATATTCTAATATTTATTTAATAATCATATATTTTGAGAAGATGCTTGGTGGATACCTAGGACGCTGGCAAGCAACCCGTACCAACCATTAGCACCCGTCACTCGTATTTGTGACACATTTTTAAATGTTCAGTTGACGGAGTTTCATGTTTAATGAATAAAAGATAATAATAATAATAATTTTTAAAATATTCTAATATTTATTTAATAATCATATATTTTGAGAAGATGCTTGGTGGATACCTAGGACGTTGGCGCCAGTCAATGGTAAATTTGTGACACATTTTTAAATGTTCAGTTGACGGAGTTTCATGTTTAATGAATAAAAGATAATAATAATAATAATTTTTAAAATATTTTAATATTTATTTAATAACAATATATTTAAAAAAGATACTTGTTGGATACCTAGGACGCTGGCAGCAACCCGTATCAACCATTAGCGCCAGTCAATGGTAAATTTGTGACACATTTTTAAATGTTCAGTTGATTTGAGTTTCATGTTTAATGAATAAAAGAGATACTACTACTACTACTACTACTAATAATAATAATAATAATAATAATAATAATAATAATAATAATAATAATAATAATAATATGCTTTGATTGAGTTTGGCCTGCGGATGCTATTGGATGTTTTGTTTTGTTGCTCCTTTGAATCTCTTGTTTTAATCCTCATTTGGGATTGAAAGGAGCAGTTTAAAGGCAGGAAGGAAAAGAAGAAGAAAACAGGTTTGGAAGGGATGCTGCTGTTTGAGAAGAAAGGATGTTGGGTGGAAGATGCCACCCCCCCCCCAATACCTGGGCGGAGGGTTATGCTGTGTCTCTGCCCAGGCAGATGAGCCTTCATTGATGCTTCCCACATGTACAGGTGGCCTGAGATCATTTTAACTGGCTTAAATTGGCAGACCCGCCCAGAAGCCATGGTTTGTTGTGTAAGCTACAATGATTAGGTTTGCACAAAAGCATAAACCGGGGCTTACAATCCTCAGTTTGCTGGAGCCAGAGCTCACTCATGCAAAATTGATCCATTCAGTTGAGCAAATCATGGTTTCTGGAGTAAGCCACACTTAGTTAGCTTTGCATGACATCCTAAAGCTGCTTTTAACAAGAACTAAAAAATAAATAAATCCTCCTGCTTCTCCCAAAGCACTTTGGAAGAAAGTTATCTGTGGTTGTTTGTCTCTGACTCTGAATGCTGAGCAAAGGATGCAGGTATTTATGGAATTCTATGGAAATGTCCTATTACTGAATTTTGGAACTGGTTTCACACACAGTGTGTGAAGCCACGAGTGGGCTTAACCCCAGAATCTGTGAAATAAATTGCATTTGGTGAGGTTCAGACATTGCAATGGGCTGTAGGCTGTGCTTCCAACCATCTTGACGGCATAAACAGGGAACTAAGGAAAAAAAAAACCTAAGTAGATGAGATCATCCTTAATAATATGGAGAAGAATTGTGGTCTTCAGAATACCTCTGAACCCACTGCCCCCAATTAAATTCCGTTGTTCCACATGAAATGTTCCTGCAGTTGTCTTTTTTTCTCATTGATGTTTTTTTTTTCCCATGAAAAATTTCAGATGCAGGTATGACTATAGCCATGGATACAATCCCAACATCTGCCAGAGACTCAGAAAAGGCACTGAGTTATGATTCATCACCCTGTTCTAATTGGTCGTGATTTTTTATTTTAAAAAGGAGGTTCTCAAATAAACTACATTTAAGCTCGCTAGAGGAAGTGATACCAAAAGGTATCGCCACTATTAAATTGTCTTTTTTTTCCCCTCAACTTTAGTTGCCTGGCTAAATAAATCAGAAATGCTACACCTGTGGATCTTTTCAGAGGTTATGTTTCAGAAATAAATTCGGGGGTGGGTGGGAGAGAATTGAGAGAAGAATGCTCCTAAAAATAGCATTTATTCTGCCTGCTCTTTTCTGTATGGTCAAAACTCAATATGGGTGTCACAACAGTACAATCAAAACTCTGCCTGGTTTGTGTGTGCTGTGACCAACAGCTTCAAATCCACCATTGAGGCTGGTGGAGTGGCTTTTTTTTTGACATGCGTCTCAAGAAATTTGCTTACAACTGGTTGACAAATTCAGTTGCATCAGAAGTGTCTGAGCATTTTGGTATGAATCTAATTTGATGAGGTCTTCTCCAGTAGCCCTCCATCCATCTTCTGCCTAATAGGTTCCTTTGCTAGCAAAGAGAAATGATGTTGCTGGCAAAAGAATAGCAACCCATCAAATCTTTTCAGAAGCAATGTCTCCTAATTAAGCAGTATTTAGTGTGGAAAATAGGAAGTACTGGAGAGGAAAATCATATGCCAGCAGACTCTCTCAAATTTCTGGAAAAAAAACCCACAAAAACTGAAAACAATTGAGAGAGAAACTTAATCCTAGAGAATACCCATGTGAACAAACAAACCCAATGCCTCCAAAAGTGGATTCCCTCCATTTTTTTTAATTTAAAAAAAGCAGCATTTGACTTAATTTCATCTTCAAAAACTAAACAAGGTTGGCCCTTGCAGTACTTAGATGAAAGACACTGATAACTTTTAAGCAAACTGTTTACTTGTTGTAGCCAAGGAAACAACACATGGACATGTTCACAAAGGCACCCAAGAATCAAGTTGGATTCAAGAGAAGCTTGATTGGATTTCTCTTTCCATCTAATGCAGCTTGGATTTGGGGGAGGGGGTGGGGGTGGGGTCTCTGAAATATAGAGAAAAAATGGCTGTTTAGAAGATGAGAACCTGACTTCAAGTTGCTGGTCAATGGTCATCAACTTTGGAAAAGGATCGTGGTCTCTATGCTAAATTGTAAAAAAAAAAAAAATCCTTAAATCTATCAATCCAATCTATCTATTATCCATCCATCCATCCATCCCTATCTATCTATCTATCTATCTATCTATCTATCTATCTATCTATCTATCTATCATCTATCTATCTATCTATCTATCTATCTATCTATCATCTATCTATCTATCTATCTATCTATCATCTATATCTATCTATCTATCTATCATCTATCTATCTATCTATCTATCTATCTATCTATCTATCTACCTACCTACCTACCTACCTACCTACCTACCTACCTACATAATCAAAGAGAGAAGCAATCTGGAATTAAGGAGAAACTTCCTAATAGTGAGGACAATTAACCAGTGGAACAGCTGGCCTTCAGAAATCATGGACGTTCCATCACTGGAGGTTTTTAAGAAGAGACTAGACAGCTACTTGTCTGAAATGGTATAGGTTCAATGGTATAGGTATAGGTTCTAGTCCAGGGGGCTTGACTAGAAGACCTTCAAGGTCCCTTCCAGATTTCTATTCTATTCTATTCTATTCTATTCTATTCTATTCTATTCTATTCTATTCTATTCTATTCTATTCCATTCCATTCCATTCCATTCCATTCCATTCCATTCCATTCTATTCTATTCTATTCTTATTATTATTCCATTCCACTCCATCATTTCTGCCTGCCCGCCTGCCTGCCTGCCTGCCTACCTACCTACCTAGCATCTATTTATCTATCTGGGTTGACACCATACAGTAATCCCAATCAATAAGTCACATTACAGCTTAGCATATTGTCCACAATGAAAGAAGAAGAAATTTCTTTTCTACCATAAAATGTGATTTTCCATCTCTCTTTTGTTCCTCCAATCAAAATGTCAAGTTTGCTTTCCTCCCCTACTTTCTGTTTATTTCAAAAGAGAAGACACAATCACTGCAGTCAGTGTAAGCCCTAAAGTAGACTCAGCTCAGTTAACAAAAATAAACAATTTAGTCTCACAATGTAAGTACAGAAAAGGGCCAAATCGAGCTGACATTTCCTAAACGTTGCCCACCTAAATAATAAATCTTATTTCCCATCTGTTTTTTTTTTTAAAATAAATTATACTGTAGAAAATTGTCCTTATAGACAAGATTGCACTGAAAATCTGACTATACAGATTTTCTGAAGCCCACCTTAAAAAAAAAGGAAAAAAAAGGAAAAATTGATTCCCTGGGATGGTGCTATTTTACTGATGTTTTCTTCTCCAACTGTTGCTTCAATCTCTGTTTTGCTTTAATCTCAGGGGTAATAGCAGCCAATTTCGAATCACAAACAGTGAATGGGATGACACAACACTGCTAGGAAGTTAATTAGCCCGGCTGCATTGTGACATCACAAAGGCAGGTGAGAAAGGGCAAATTGAAAATACAGGGAAGAGTGGACACATCAACAATTCAATGTTTTTTGTGAAAATAGGAAAAACACAGCAATATGAATTCATTTGGCTCAGATGCAGTCTTGAAATGAGCATGCTGAAGGCTTAGAAATAAACAAGAATCTAACAGAAGAGAATATTGGTCACTCAGGATTGAACTGTGAAGTCCTTGGTGGTATGTCCCAAAATTGAGACTGGAATTTTTTGTTTTGTTTTGTTTTTCTTTGAAGACGTTTCACTCAGAGATGGGTTGCAGCAGGTTCTGACCAGTTCTGGAGAAGCGGTAGCGGAAATTTTGAGTAGTTCGGAGAACCGGTAGTAAAAATTCTGACTGGCCCCGCCCCCATCTATTCTCTGCCTCCCAAATCCCAGCTGATTGCGAGGAAATAGGGATTTTGCAGTATCCTTCCCAAGCCACACCCACCAAGCCATGTCACACCCACCAAGCCACGCCCACAGAACCAGTAGTAAAAAAAAATTTGAAACCCATCACTGGTTTCACTTCTCATCCAAGAACCTGGATGACTGAGAATCTCTACAGGCTCCTTGGTAGTATCTGAATTGGCAGATGCTTCATTAATCCGACCAGGTAACATCATCAGTGCTAGAAAGGAATGGGATCTGCTCAGTAGTGAAATCCAATTTTTTTTAAACTACCGGTTCTGTGGGCATGGTTTGGTGGGCATGGCTTGGTGGGCAGGCAGGGGAAGGATACTGCAAAATCGCTATTCCCACCCCACTCCTGGGGGAAGGATATTGCAAAATCTCCATTCCCACCCCACTCTGGGGCCAGCCAGAGGTGGTATTTGCTGGTTCTCCGAACTACTCAAAATTTCCGCTACTGGTTCTCCAGAACCTGTCAGAATCTGCTGGATTTCACCCCTGGATCTGCTCTCTGTTCCATGTACAAGGAATCAAGAAACCAATTTCCTACCCACATTGACAGGGCAAACCATTGTTATGTAAACAGAGAGCAAACCTCACTGCCTTCCAGCACTGATGATGTTAGCTAGTTGGGTAATGAAACATCTGCAAGGAAACAACCAAGCTCAGAGATCTCCAAGGACCCCAACAAATAAAAGCCTGGATTCTTTCTGTACATTTTGTTGATTACATGGTCCAGCAAATTCCTTTCGATATCATAAAAATATTCAAAATACCACGGAAAATAAGCAAATAATGTATGGAATGGGGTACACCTGAAGTATTTTTGCCTGCGGTGCTCTCAAAGCTTGATTGTGAGGCACCATCAGTGCTATTTTTGTCTGTTGTAGAATTTGTCGGTTTATAGAATTGGGGAATTGTCCTGCTGGAAAGGATTATCTAAGCCATCCTCCTGTTGTCTCTGCTGGAACCCAATTGAAAGAATCCTGGGAAAATGTCTACCTAGCATCCCCTTGAGCCCATCTAATCAAGGATAAGCTATCACCTTTTGAGGTAAGTGGTGGTCCCAGTCAGGATTGGGCTTCAAAAATTTAAGCAATGGGTTCTCTGCCCGGTTGCTGGGTGGGTGTGGCCTACTCGGCCTTCTGCACCATGGTGGGTGGTGGTGGTGTTTTTGCCTTCCCCAGGCTCTGGAGGCTTTCCTCGAGCCTCTGGGAGGGCGAAAACTGCCTCCCCTGGGCTCCAGAGGTCTTCTGGAACTTCCAGGAGGCCCGTTCCGCCCCTCCCTGAGCCTCCATGTGGGCCCTGCACTTATCTCGCATCCAAAATGGGCCATGAGGAGACTCCTGGGAGGGGCGCGGAGGGAGGGGTGGGGTGGGTGGGGCCAGCCAAGGGTGGGATTTGGAGATTCTCCAAACTGGCAATAACCTTAGCTACGGGTTCTCCCGAACCCGGGCGAACCCATAGCAGCCCACCCCTGGTCCCAGTATTGAATTTCTCATACTTGAGAATTTTTTATTTCTACTATTGAAATTACAATCCCTTTTTGTTCCTTTAAGAGATCTGCTTCAGTGGTGAGTTGCCCCCGGTTCGGACAGGTTCTATAGAACTGGTAGTAAAACTGGCGGGAAGCTCCGCCCACTGACCCTGACATCATAAGCTTATGCGCATGCACAGAAGCAAGGCGTGTGCACGAGCAATCCCATTGCAAACCGGTAGTAAAGGTAAGTAGAACCCACCCCTGATCTGCTTCCCAATGACTTGTCTTCATTACAGAAAGCGAATCAGTAAAGAAAAGGCATGAAAACTTCTCTATGCCCATTTTCTATATCAAGCAATCTTGCCATTCAAAAAGCTTATTCACAATCTAAGATAATTGTTTTCCTTCCTCCCTCTTCCCTGCCAACTTCACTCAAAGCTCTTTCCCCCCTTCTCTCCAGAAGTCAGTATGAATCATGGCTGTAATGAAGCAATTTTCTGTTTAGAGACTCTACCGAGAGCTGTATTTTCTTCTCCATCTCAAACACACAGACACAAAAACCACAATGTACATGGGAGTGAAAATGGGTTCTGCTTTCAGTGGAAGAGATATACAGTGCATTCACTTCCATTCTCTGGGTTGTTTTCTCTTGGCTTTCACTTCATTTGATGAAGGAGAATTTGCTTTAGAAATTCTTTTAAAGAGGATTTAGAGGAAAGGAAAAAAAAGAATAGATACTGTTCTTGTGCTTTGTGAGTTATCTGGTCTTTCAGCGTACATGATTCTCCATTTGCCTGCAATCTCCTGGTCTTCTCACATTTTCATTCTCTCTAGGGTTGCCAGGTCTGCTTCCAAAAAATAGCGGACAAGTGGGGGGGGGGGGTTAAGTAGTAAAAAAAAAAAATTTACAATTAAATTATATATTTTCTTACAAACAATTTACAGTAGGCCGTCGTATTTGTTCTGTCGGTTTTGTTGTTGGTAATCCATGCAAAAGTAGCTTCCCAGTCTTTGGTGTATTTGCACACTCCTCTCTTTCGTTTTAAAGAATTCGAAATCTCGCCGCTGTCACTCTCATCACTCGACACCATTTTAGGTCAGTCGACACAAGCTACAATACATTTTAAAAATGTGAACTGTACATAATTTTATAATATATTTTTATTTTAATCTCATCATTAAGTTTTTCAGAGAATTGAGTTCAATGGATATTCAATCTTTGTCTCATTCTAACTTATGAAAAAAAAAGACAAAACGCGATTCTCCTATCCTTATTCTCTTAGACTGTACAGCTTTAGATTATGTACCATTTCATCATAAAGCTTTTGAATAAAAAAAATGTCCACTATTTTGTGAAAAAAAATAGTGAACCTAATGTGAAAAAAGCGGACTGTCTGCTCAAATAGTGGACACCTGGCAACTCTAATTCTCTCCCATTTTCAGGTGAGAATTCTTCCCAGGAATGGTGCTCCTGTTACCTTTAAGAGAGAGTTTAATCCTAAAAAAACTTGGAGAATCTCTCCTCCCCTCAGGATAATATAATTTCTCTGTCTACAAACTGTGCCCAGCTGTGTTCAGCTATAGTACATAGTCTGGATAGGGTACAATAGATCCCTGATTTTGATACCTGAGTTTAATTTTGGTGGGGTTTTGCCAGAACTGTTGAGGGGGAAGTTTAACAAAATCCCCTAATTGCAAGATGGTTTCTAATGTGCTTTGATAGTATCTTCATCAGTACAGCCTCCCACACAATGTTTAAGAGATACATTTGACCCATCTTCCATCCATCCCTTAGCAAAATGAAAAGTGAGTCCAAGAAGGACGTTTTTGTCAATTAAAAAAAAATAGTTTTCTTTGAACTGAGCCCAGTTCCTAATGATTTCAGTGGATACATCCATACTGGTTTTTTCTTCTTCTTTCTGATTTGCCTTCTTACAGGATTCCCATTCATCACCCAAACCATCTTGTACAGTTTGTGCTTGAAATTCCTGGGAGGCCAAAGTTACAAATGTCTTTGGGGAAAGTCTGAGAAACTGAGTGAAACAAGTCTTCATTGCAAGTTCTAAGGAAAATTTAGCTTCCACTTAAAAAGTCAGTCCATCGCTGAAGTTGTTGCAAAAAGGGAATCATAAATTGGCAATACTGGGGAAAGCCAATTTTTCTCTTTTTGCTAGATTTATTCCCCCATGGCCTCAATGTTGTGATGTAGGCTTCCTGAGTCATTAAAACACATGAGTAGTCCCAAAAACTTCTTTTATTGCAACAGCTGTGAATTACATTCATTCACAGCTGAGTCCCAATTAGTTGCAAAAAGTCCTTCGGGAGACGTCCTTCGGGATAATCACCAACCTTTATCTCCCTTGACAGGCTGCCAAAGACCTACTTGGCAAAGCCACATGGAGTCCAGAATCAAACAGAGATGCCGACTGGGAACAGAATTAACAATGTTGCTTTCCTGCAAAGGGCCCACGTGCCTTTGCTCCTCTTTTAAGCCTTATGGGAGGGGTCAATCATCTCCAGGCCTTACTCCCGAGTCGTCCCTTTTGTTTTAACTGTTCTTGCCTTCTGGCAGCTCTGCGCATCCGTGCACTAGGAACAGGCTCCTCCTGTTCCTCTGCCTCTCTGACATCCGACTCTGGAAGCTCCGGAGTCCGCGCATAACTGGCCCTGGCCCCATCTCTGCCTCCGATGCAGAGCCCTCGTCCGAGCCTTCTCCAGACTCCATGACTGGCCCATGTTCCTCCCCAGCCTCCTCACTGTCCAACTCTGCTGCCAGCTCCGCAGGCTGCTGGTGGACCACAACACTCAAGAGGAACAGAGTTATCATTCTTTCGTCTAATTTTCCTTATAACAGTCACTCTGAGCTATACACTGAGCCGAGAGAATGATTGTCAAAATCCACCTATGAACTTTCAAGGCTGAAGCAGAAACTGAACCTGGAACTTTCCTGTCCTGCTCTAACATCTTAACCACTGTGCCACAATGACTTTCCTTAGGGGCTTCTTTTGCAAGAGAACCAGTGGTGCTATTCAGCCAGTTCTATCCGGTTCAGGCAAACCGGTAGCGGCGGCTGCGGGAGGCTCCGGCCCACCCACCCACCTGTCATCACGTCCCGTTTTTGACACTCTGCGCATGCACAGAAAGTCCTGCGCATGTGCGGAGGTGGCATGCACGCTCACATTTGCAAACTGGTAGCGAAGGTAAGCGAATACCTCCGCTGAAGAGAACATACTGCAGTGAACAAAGAACAAAAGAAAAAACAAGGCTGAACAAGAGCATCCCTACAGTGCAGACTGAAAGTTGATTTAGGCCATTGGGTTTTATCTCCCTGAGTGAAATAATGTAACATTATTAACTGGCCAACTTGTTCTTGTACCAAACCTGCTATCTCTTAGGAATACGATCTCATAAGATTCTTTTTTTTCCTCTGTCTGTTCTATATCTACATGTCAAATGGTTTTTCTTCTACTTTACAAGAAGCACCATAGGCCATATCAGGACCATATGCATGGGAAGGTCTGGTAGAAACTTGTCATGAAGTTACTTGCTTTCCAAAATCTTTTGCTGGTAGATCATTTTTTTTTTTAAATGGTGCCAATAAAATTCAAGAGAGATTGGGGGCAAAAGTTAGTCAGATGATAAACCAAAAATTACCTAGGCATGATGACGTTCTAGATTCAGTATATATCTATATATCTATTCCTCTGTCTGCTGTCTCCTGGTCTCTGTGTGTGTCTCTGTCTGTCTGTCTGTCTGTCTGTCTGTCTGTCTGTCTGTCTCTCTCTCTCTCTCTCTCTCTCTCTCTCTGTGTGTATCTATCTATCTATCTATCTATCTTAATAAGAGGGGGCAAAACTAAACTATAAAGATATTGTGAGATTTGGGCAATTCGGTGAGTTTTTGCACGAGAATGCAATAGTCTTGTAAACTTTCAGATTTTTTTTTTTTAACATAAGGTAGGAGAACGAGGACTCCAATGAATGTCCTGCTATTTGCAAATGAAAAGTCGTTGTCACTGCTGGTTCTAGGCAGCATTTTAGAAGCGATTTGTCTTCTTCCTATGGCTGAGAAAAGAATGAACAGGCCCAAAGACTTCTAGCTGGCTTTTCTAGCCAAGGCAGAACTAAAATGCAGCATCTCCTTTCTTTTAATCCAGCACCTTAATCACTACATTAAACTGTCTCCCTCGATTATATCAGCAACCTCAGAATGGAAAGAGAAATCCTGTATGCGCCCTCTTAAGTAAACAATCCTCAGGCATAAATATGTAGTATATTTAGAAAGTAGATGGATTCTGCTAGTTTGAGGTAGATTTAAAGCTCATTATTCCACCTAGAAGTCCGTTGCCTGGTATTGGATTTTTTTTTAAAAAAGTGTTCCTCTTGCAAATGATTTTGCACCCTCCATTTCAAAACATAGAAGACATTATCTTATCTAACTAAAAGTCACAGCTGTTTTTCTGCAATTGCCTGAGGTCTAAGCGTGACGGTGCAGATCAGTGGTGGATTGCTCCCGGTTCTGTCCGGTTCTATAGAACCGGTAGTAAAACCAGCAAGAGGCTCCGCCCACCTGC